GTATGCTGGAGGTTACCAATTTAAGAAAAAATATCACGCACACCAGGCATACCCATAGATGTTTCGTTTCCCACGGTAAATGTCTTTAGGTGTCAATGCTGACTGTTGATGTAGCACACTGGTTGTAGACTAATACTCTTTTTCACAAACATTCTTTCCTGCTAGACCATTTAATTCCAAATGTATGTAACCTTACATAGGTTTTATTTAACATTGCATCTTCCACCAGCATTCGTTCATAAATAGTTTGTTTTTTTAATGTCTGCCTGATCCAATAATATGAGTGTTCCTGTGGCTATTACTTTTGTACTTTTTATTTGCGTGCAGCCTGTTGGTCCCTTGCCGCTCAGGCAGATGCATTCCGACCAGTGGAAATAAAAAATCAGTCACCTTTTATGGCATGCTTGTTAAGGAGGCAGTGGGTCTCCTTTTCTTCCCACAAAATGGGCTCCAGAACCCACAAAGGCGCCTCCTATAAATAAAAGTTCCTCCGAAGTCGGAGTACATCTGCCGGAGAGGCGGGGAACGAGTAATGCAAACAAATAAGCCAGTAAAACGGATGTACACGCAAAACTCAGGTCAAGGTAAAAGCCAAAAGTCCATTTTGGACGAACAACCGTGACTTACCGCCGGAATTCACAGCCGGTGAACAAGAAGAAGAAGAAGAATAAATAAAAGACGGACCTCATTGGTGATATGAGCCCATGCTCCCTACTATGTTTCACCGGTATATTTACTGTTCAGTTCAGCACGCGCACGCATGCACACACAAACACACACACACAGCAGCTGATAAATAGGCTATTTGTACTAATGTTGTGCTATCAGTGCCAGACATAGAGTCATAGAAGACATAAATGCAACACACAAGCTGTGAGATGTGTAAGAAATGCAGCGGGAAAAACAAGAAGAGACCAGGTAATCAATGAAGAACTAAGAACAATGGTAAAGGCAGTACAGGTAAATGATTTAACAGAATATCAAAGAATTAAATGGTTTGGTCACCTGGTAAGAATGGAACAATATTAACCAGCAGCTAGAGTGTACTACATGTGAACGGCATGGCAAAAGGCAGACTCAGAAAGAGACAGGTGAAGGGAATAAAAGAGAAACTACAGAAATGTGCAAGATGAAATCAGCACAAGTTACGCAGCTAGTAAAAGACAGCAAAAAACTGTATCTAACTCATCTCTGCAACACTTTATGGCATAAGCAGTAGGACAAAAGCATAAGATTTAGCATTCAATCATACAACTTTCAAGAATGTACATCAATTTTTCTTTATGTCTTTGACAGCAGGACAAAGAGATAACCATAAAACTGAGACCAGTTATCATTATTATTTTATATTCTTAAGAACGGCACAAAATATTAATTATAACCATTAAATGAACAGTTTTCCCTCCACTATTTTACTATTACTATATTAGGATCAACCTTAAAACAGACACAGATGAGACAAAACTGGATTCCATCCACGTCAAAAAGTTTGCACAGATAGAATGGAATGGTGCAACTGACTGTGAGCCCTATGTGGCTCACAAATGGGACAACAGGCTGATATTGAAGAAGGTAGTGGAATTTTCAAGATAAGGGGACAAAGACATAATAAAAAGGAAACAGAGCTGCCTCCACTATTTTCCCACCATTACTATATTGGAATCTTAAATAAATGGACAAGGAGATAAGAATAAAACAGTTGTTTTTTTCTATTGATGTATTAGAATCTCCCTGATAAGATAAACAGATAACCATGAATGACAATTTCCCCCACCCCTTTCCCCCACTAATTTTATATTACAATATTGGAATATCATAAACAGGTCAAAAAGATAACCTTGATACAGTTTATCCCATTTTTTTTTTTTTTTTAACCATTACTATACGGAAATCTAGATAATGGGGAAAATAATGGGGTGGGGGGGGGGGGGGGGCGCAGATCTATCTTCTTTGTTCCTATTAATATTTTTGAAATTTTCAAGACATTATTTAAAAAAAAAATAGGAATCATTTTTGTCCACTGTTTTTCCCTGTTACCTACTGGAATCATCTGCGTCTGTGGCTTAGGCGTTGTGAACATGCTTCACATTGCCGGGTCTGATCCCAGCTGCAGCCGATTTAGCAGAAAGCCATCTTGCGTTTGTTTCGACAGTGCTACTGAGAGCCGACTATTCGGATTAAATGATAAACTATTGAAACTATTTTCTAACAAAAACCACAACAGTTTAAAAACAATTGCTGGGATTGGTTTTGCAACATTCTGTAAAAGGACTTTACAAGGGGATCTGGCCGATGCTCAACAACAAAAGTATTTTGTAGGGTAATTATCCTGAAACCGATCGTTGAGTTTGGAATGATCTTTGCCTGGTTTTGTAAGGAATGGAGGGAGATGGGGGGGGGGGGGGGGGGAGAAGATCAGGTAGCTGTGTATCCAATCCTGGGGTGCTGATGCTGTTCTGAAGCTCTGGTTGAAGTGAAATGTCATCTCCTTTAAATCACTCATGCTCTTTATGTGGGCATACCAAACTCTGTCTGGCCCGGCGCAGTGTCTTTTGCTTTTTTTTTTTTTCCAATAGATAATTTTATAGCCTACACCCTAATGATTTACTGAAAAAAAATTATAATTTACAGTGTTAGAAATATTACCTCTAAGCTCCCTATCATTATGATCAGTCAGGGATATAAATCTCTTCAAATCTTTGTCTGTCTGTTGTCACTGGTATACTTTTATCAGTGTCTATAATGTGTGTTGTAATAGGCCTACCCTTTCTGTGCATCTGTCTGAAGTCTCCAAAACCTACCCAGTGATTTATCATATCCCCTCAAATTTCGCTCATAAAATATTCCCATTTAGCCTTTTTTTTTTTTTTTATCTGCTGCACATTGCTTGAATTCTACTTCCGCAATAACTATACTTAAATCTCCCATTTAACAGGACAAACATACAATGGAAAACATTCCAGAATTATACATTATAGTAACAGATATGCCAAGCAATCAATGCTAAGAACCAGTCTCTGCACACAAAACAGGAAATGGTAACAGCTGCAGCAGGAAGTGGTCATGTACAAACAAATATGGTACACAGAGACCCTCAAGATAAACAATACATCATCATCATTTTAATCATCATCATCATCATATAATTCTTTTGCCAAAGGTCAGTCCGTCACTCATCACAACCTATCAGAAGATCACCAATCCTTTCTTCTCCTCTTCAGATTATTTCAATTCCTACAGGTGTGTAATGCTCTGTGCCCACTGCCATTCTGGTAGTCCCCTGAATTTTCATCACATTATACTTTATAAAGACATTTTACAAAATGTGTGCCATCTTCATTATGAAGGTTAACAACAGTCTTCCACGGTGTGATTTTCATGGCACTGCCCTAACATTACCAGATTGTCTTTTAAAAATAAGACATCTGTAGTTTTAAGTCTTTGTTGATCTACATGATCTGCCTACTTTGTTCTATTTGACATTGAAAACAAAGTCACCTTGAGAAGTTTATTACTGTGTATAAGATGATGATGACCACCATCAAGTGCCTTGTAACCTGGCGTGGACGCTCACATCTATCCACAATTTGCGATCAACAGCTGGGTGCTGACACCAGGCAGACTGGCGACACCAAACCCCACAGATAATGACATCACACAGACAACCCAAGTCAGATATTTGCATCAAATCTAGACAATCAAGTCATAAAGATACTGCAAAGTCAGACAATGACTATAACACGACAAAGGCTGTCAACAATCTTCTCACACTGTCTCTATCTCTCTTTCTGTAAATCCTTCCAGCTCCTGCAAGATGTTCCAGCTTTTTCCCCTTATCATGCAGAACCAGCTTTTTCCCCTTATCATGCAGAAAAAGATGACTGCCTCTTTCTGATGTCTGACCATGTAACTAAAATCCACCTACAACTTTTCAGTATAAGAAAAAGGAATTCCCAACTACCAAGCTCTGGTTATGATGATTTATAATTTCCTTCCACCCTGCTCTTTTCCTCCTACTCTCATGAAGGTGACAGATGTGTTATAGACTTATGGCTTGTTTCAAACTAAACAAATTCATACCAAGAGGTACAGATCTAAGCAGGACCAAGTCAGATTTAAAAAAAAAAAAAAAAAAGACAAAGCTTTACACATAAGGGGAAACAAACAAAAGCTGTAAAGATCAATCGATAACCACATAACCATTTCAGAAAAAGAAGTACTAAAAATACATTTGAGATATTAACTGCATTAAGTGGTGTGTGTCAGCCATCTCCTGCATCTTCTGTACCTACCGGCTTTAAGTGAGGCCTTGCAGTGATCTGTGCTACAGGCCCTTGGTAAGACACTGCCACCATCCCCTGGCTACAAGAATTTGTGAGTGAGTGAAGATGAATCCCCTCTACGACTGCATACTGAGCAACTAACATCCAGCGACCGATTCAGCCACTATTCAGATGGGAATCCCTCAGGCATAATCCCATAAACCCCATTCAACCATATGACACGGTTATATTGGGGCTGGAAGTTGCAAAGTAAACCTGTAGCCCTGCTTGGTTCAGTGTGACATACAAGCTTTGACAACAATACAGCCCTTCTAAATTACCTTGTCCAATTCAATTAGTAAACAAATTTTGGAATCTGTATGTTTGTGTGGTTTTGTTAAAGATATAAATGGAACAAAAATACAAGAAATGAAAAGAAAACCAATCCATCGCTAGTCCTTTTACATGCTATCACCATGTCTTACACGAATCAACAAAATGACATCTGCTCCAGAAATGGCCATGTCCAAAGCTGTCTCTACAGAATATCACAAGCAAAGTAATCTCAGAGCAAGTGAATAAGCCACAACCATCATTACAAGAAGCATAAAGAAGCAGACATGAAACATTATCTCATCCCTGCAGAAATACCAGTAGTTGCTTTAGTTTTGCTTCTGCAAATAAATTTATATTACAGAAAAAGAAGCGATGATCAGATCCAGGTTGTTTTATTTGAAGTTATGAGTTTCCTCCTGTGTTGTTGACATGAGACCTTGCCATATCCGCAGGCATGCACGTTTCTGGCAGCATCGTGCCTTGGTGACCGCCTTCTGTGTCCCCAACCTGGCTGCTCCAGCTTGTCTGTTTAGAATGGTGACCTCTGGAGTGGGATGTCTTTAGTTTGTTCTCGTGACCTATACTTGAAAGAAGGTGCCGTGTGTCTTCTGAAGTGGTGCTGGCTGCAGCTGCTGCAATGGCAGCTAGTTCTGAGGCAGCAGTCAAAGAAGAAGGGTCAGAGGTCAGTCCTGTGACCTGGTTGCGCGACATCAGCTCCCCGATGGTGTGGGCTTGCCAGTATGCTGCGAAGGCCAGCTTCTGCTGGTGATCCAGATGAGAGGCGCTGGATGCTGTTACAGAGGTGTCTGCGGAGGTCAAGCGGTGCAGCAGTGCTGCATCATTTTGTGCGATCACATGCTGTTGATGCTGCTGGTACATCGACGATGACACGGACTGTGGTGGCTGGGGGGACGAAGATGCCTGGTGCCTAGCCAGAGCAGCCTGTATCAACTGCTGTGTGGCCACATCTTGGGAGGATGACAGCAAGAGAGAGGATGGATTTGATGACTGGAGAGACGAGGATGCTGCCACGAGAGCACGATGCTGGGAGAGAACATCCTGGTGTAAAAAGTGAGGAGCCCCTGACATTTGGTCAGCAGAAGTTTGGTCCCCTGTGGTTAGATACTCTCCCTTTAGTTGTGCGTGCTCCTCAGACATGTATCGAGCAGCTGAACTGCGATGTAAATCTGAAGAAGACATGGACGATGTTTCTCCTAGACGATGAAGTGCCTATATTAGGATTAAACAATATGCAGTTTTAATTACATCAAAGTATAGAACACACACAGACAAAAAACAGAACTTAGTCAGTATTACATTAACACATCGATAGAGAATGTGGTACATTTGATAAAAAGCATTAATTTTAAACCTGTTTAAATGGCTTTATTACAAAAGCATGAAAGAAACAACAGGTATGGCAAAATTAAACAAAGCATTCATTTTGAAATAATTGAGCACTATGGCTTGTAGTTGCACTCAACTAAGTGTTTACCATGTTCATTATGTCACAGTGGTGTGAAATCATCGCCTCTTCAGAGCATTTTAGAAGTCTGATCAAATCAAAAATCACATGCTGACAAATCAGAACTACTGGCTGGATGTTGTAGAACGTCTCACTTCTTCCAAGCAGCAGCAGCAGCAGCAGCAGCAGCAGGAGGAGGAGTAGGAGTAGTAGTAGGAGTAGTAGTAGGAGTAGTAGTAGGAGTAGTAGTAGGAGCAGTAGTAGGAGCAGTAGTAGTAGCAGTAGTAGTAGCAGTAGTAGTAGCAGTAGTAGTAGCAGTAGTAGTAGCAGTAGCAGTAGCAGTAGCAGTAGTAGTAGCAGTAGTAGTAGTAGTAGTAGTAGTAGTAGTAGTAGTAGTAGTAGTAGTAGTAGTAGTAGTAGTAGTAGTAGTAGTAGTAGTAGTAGAAGTAGTAGTAGTAGTAGTAGTAGTAGTAGTAGTAGTAGTAGTAGTAGTAGTAGTAGTAGTAGTAGTAGTAGTAGTAGTAGTAGTAGTAGTAGTAGTAGTAGTAGTAGTAGTAGTAGTAGCAGCAGCAGCAGCAGCAGTAGCAGTAGTAGTAGTAGTAGTAGTAGTAGTAGTAGTAGTAGTGGTAGAAGTAGTGGTAGTAGTAGAAGTAGTAGTAGTAGTAGAAGTAGTAGTAGAGGTAGAAGTAGAAGTAGTAGTAGAAGTAGAAGTAGAAGTAGTAGTAGAAGTAGTAGTAGAAGTAGTAGAAGTAGTAGTAGAACGTTTTGAAAAATTGCATCCCAGAAGAGGATGACAAAGGTGTAGATTCTTCCAAGCCAACACTTCCGAACATGCAGACAAGAATTATCATGAAATAAAATCCTACTGAAAATAAGCATCACTAGAAGGTTTATTCTTGATGGCTTTATGCAGCTTGCTTAGTGTTTCCCAGTAGTGGGTAGAGTTGATGGTAACACCAGGTACTTGCTTCTTTAAAGAGTGTCAAGAGTTGCACTTCTTAGTTTAAACAAATTAATGCGCTCAGCATAACCTCACCAGTGGAAACTTGTAATGTTGTTGTTTTTTTGTTTTTTTTAAATTTATTTTGTATGTGACTTTTACCAATTGCAAATGTAAATGTTCCATATAGTAAATTTTTTTTTTTTTTTTTTTACATAGAGGGTGCATAGTTCTCAAACCCATAGATATGTGTACAGCTATTTTTTTCTAAACTGTAGAAAGTATGTGTTACTTTAGGTGTCTACTCTTTTAAACTGTAGACAGATATATTGTTAATTTTCAAATTACTGTCTATTTAATTTTCTAAGCTGTAGATAGTAGGTGTTTACTTTTCTCAGCTGTAGATAGTAGGTGTTTACTTTTCTCAGCTGTAGATAGTAGGTGTTTACTTTTCTCAGCTGTAGATAGTAGGTGTTTACTTTTCTCAGCTGTAGATAGTAGGTGTATACTTTTCTCAGCTGTAGATAGTAGGTATTTACTTTTCTCAGCTGTAGATTGTAGGTTTATACTTTTCTCAGCTGTAGATAGTAGGTGTTTACTTTTCTCAGCTGTAGATAGTAGGTGTTTACTTTTCTCAGCTGTAGATAGTAGGTGTTTACTTTTCTCAGCTGTAGATAGTAGGTGTTTACTTTTCTCAGCTGTAGATAGTAGGTGTATACTTTTCTCAGCTGTAGATAGTAGGTATTTACTTTTCTCAGCTGTAGATTGTAGGTTTATACTTTTCTCAGCTGTAGATAGTAGGTGTTTACTTTTCTCAGCTGTAGATAGTAGGTGTTTACTTTTCTCAGCTGTAGATAGTAGGTGTATACTTTTCTCAGCTGTAGATAGTAGGTGTTTACTTTTCTCAGATGTAGAAAGTATTTATCTTTTTATTATCCTCAAATGTAGATAGTAGATGCCTTTTTACTCTTCTTAGCTTAGATATTAGGTGTCTGTCTACTTTTTTCACTCATAGTATGTGTCCTTTATTTTTCTCAGCTGTAGATTGTAGGTGTCTTTGCTTTTCTCAGCTGCAGATTGTAGGTGTCTATTTACATTTTCTCAGCTGCGGATAGTAGGTGTTTACTTTACTCAGCTGCAGATAGTCGGTGTCTATTTACTTTTTTCACTCCAAGATAATATGTGTCTATTCACTTTCTTCAGCTGTAGACAGTAGATGTAGTTGATGTATAGTTACTTCTTTATTTTAACCTCTTAAAAAAATGATAATCAATCACAAACAATAAGTTAAACATCAAAATAAATAAGCTAATAATATAACAACATAAAACTACATTACCACAAATTCTAAGAGACCTAAAATCATGTGCGGTTCAAAAGAAAGTGTATGCTAACTAGGAAATAATATTAAAAGCAATGGAAACTACAAAATCAAATAGCATTCAAAGTCTGTTTACTGTGTGCTCTGAAGGCTGTGGGTTCATTTCACGGCTGCGCCATTCGGTTCATGGGTGCAGTTTTTATAGACCCTGGGGATTATCACTTGAGTCGCAGTGTTCATGCTTTGTGCAACATTTCAAGAGAGACCAAGCCATATGGGACAGAACCCAGCGCAATGTAGTAGTCAATCCTCTAGACTAACCTTTTTTTTTTTTGCCGGCAAGGAGATCAAACATTCTGAGAGCATGCATCTCTCCTGTAGCAACATACAGATGTGAGTCGTGAAGATCATTGAGGAAGAAAATTGGGATTTATAAGCTGAAATACTACAGAAAAATTCTCAGAATACCGTGGACCAAGAAGAAAAGAAATACTGACAGCCTGAAAGATCGGAATATTGGGATTTGCAAATAAACAGCTTTATATCAGACACATTTAGGCCATATCAAGCACCACAGTAGATTGGAACAGATAACAGAGGAAGGTATGGCACCAGGAAGGAGGGACAGAGGCTGACCAGCAGGAAGATGGACACAGGTTACAAGTGACAAAGGGTAGGAAAGTGCAGGAGGTGGTACAGCTGGCAAGAGTTCCATTTTTTTTAAAGGCAGACAGCGACAACAGTGAAGTTCTGCAAAGGACCTGCTACAGGATGATGATGCAGCCACAGAGCCCTTAGGGTTAGGAACTTCTATAATAAAACATTTGAGTTTCCCATGTTCTTTTTCCATCAAGTGTGCCAAACGTTGACTAAGGACACTGCAACACAGTCTCTAAATTCTACAATGCTGCACAAGCTTTGTACTTGAGAGAAGAGAAACTTCATCCATGGATGGCCTTGAAATAAAGATGTGAGCAAACAGGACATGAATGAGACAGATAGTGCATGTATTAGTGGGAACAGGATGACATGGGACCATTTTGCATGGATGGGGAAAAATCAGGATGGGAATATGGATAAAAGAGAAGATTATTCCACATTGGTTGAGAGCTAAGAAAAAAACATTATGTTAAATACACATATGACGGCAACAATGGTCCCAAAATTCCATGTTCTAACTATAAAGGATCTTTCTAAACATAAGCTGCTTTAGTAGTCACACCCACCATCACTGTGGGCTGTGATTCCTATGCCTCCCTGGCAGAATATAACACTAGTTAGTTAGTTAGTCAACAGGCATTTTACCTGAGCCTCCAAATGTCTTTGCCTCTGGGCCTGAACATCTGCCAGCTCTCCCAAGTTGACAGAGATTTTGGGAATCTCTCCTTCGCCTCCGCCCCGGACTCCGTTAGCTTGATCTGCCTCTTCCTGGAGCTGCTGAGCAAAGTTCTGACAATACTGTGCCAGTTTGGTCATTTGAAGCATTGTGGCAATTTTGTGTAGAGACCTGACCGATGATGTATCCACCTGGAACCAAAGAGAAATGAATCAAATACCACAAGGCCTCTATGTGGGCTCTGAGGGCATTTCTGGAAGGCAGGGAGGGGAATAGACCTGCGCTATGTGGGCTCTGAGGGCATTTCTGGAAGGCAGGGAGGGAAATAGACCTGCGCTATGTGGGCTCTGAGGGCATTTCTGGAAGGCAGGAAGGGGAATAGACCTGCGCTATGTGGGCACTGAGGGCATTTCTGGAAGGCAGGGAGGGGAATAGACCTGCTCTATGTGGGCTCTGAGGGCATTTCTGGAAGGCAGGGAGGGGAATAGACCTGCGCTATGTGGGCTCTGAGGGCATTTCTGGAAGGCAGGGAGGGAAATAGACCTGCGCTATGTGGGCTCTGAGGGCATTTCTGGAAGGCAGGGAGGGGAATAGACCTGCGCTATGTGTTCTGAGGGCATTTCTGGAAGGGAGGGAGGGGAATAGACCTGCGCTATGTGTTCTGAGGGCATTTCTGGAAGGCAGGGAGGGGAATAGACCTGGTCTATGTGGGTTCTGAGGGCCTTTCTGGAAGGCAGGGAGGGAAATAGACCTGGTCTATGTGGGTTCTGAGGGCATTTCTGGAAGGGAGGGAGGTTAATAGACCTGCGCTATGTGGGCTCTGAGGGCATTTCTGGAAGGCAGGGAGGGGAATACACCTGGTCTATGTGGGTTCTGAGGGCCTTTCTGGAAGGGAGGGAGGGGAACAGACCTGCCCTATGTGGGTTCAAGCGGCGTAAGTGGCTAAGGCGTTGCAAGTCCGACTCGTAATCCAACGTACCATGATCGAAACTTACTGCGGGCTGCGTGGATTTTTATCGTGGTATGGGGCGTCGCATGTCGACCCAGCCTAAAATGGGTACCAGGATGGGCTGTCCTGGGAAAATCAAGACGGCTGGCGTAATGCTGACCACATTACCCTCCGAGTGCTGATGGTCTGTAAAAATATGGGCGACTTCCCATATGCCCGATACGCCTAAAGGCGTGGAAAGGGATCTGTACTTTTTTTTTTACTTTTCATGTGGTTCAGGGGGAGGGGGCACTGTTTCTCTAACAAGCGGGTCGTAAATGGAAACTAATTAGTAATCAATTCTTCTTTCAAAGCTGGTGTGCATCTTCCTTAACAAGGAACCACCAGTCCATATAAATAAGTGAGATCTGTAAAACGGATGTGTATATAAAATCCAAGTTTTGAAACTATATCAAAGTTCAGAAGTGGATAAACAACAACGATGAGTTAACAGCCGGTGAATGCTAACAAGAAGAATATATGGTATTTTTAGTTCTGTAACAATCAAATTCAAAAGTCTCAAAGTGTCTTCTCCAATGATTGTGAAATGGTCAATGACACCTCCATGCTGCCATAGAAAAACTAGAAACAGACAACAACCAAAAAAAAAACTTAGAAGAGTAACAAATAAAATAAAAATACATTTCATAGTCCATGCCATGTGACATTGGTAGTCATATTTTCATGTACTTCCAATTAATTCTGACACAAATGATCCCCCATGCCATGTGACATTGGTAGTCATATATTCATGTACTTCCAATCAATTCTGACACAAATGATCCCCCATGCTATGTGACATTGGTAGTCATATATTCATGTACTTCCAATCAATTCTGACACAAATGATCCCCCATGCCATGATATCAAACTGTCCAGCATCTTTCCCCTCTGCCGTTTTCCCATCCAACTTTTCCCGTAATGATGTACTCTACTCTACGTAATGATGTTTTTTTCTCCTTTTCATGACTTGACCAAAGGCGGTGGATTGTCTCCTGATGTGGGCAATCAGTTCTCTTCGTAAGTTTTTTTTTTAGACATCATTACTTTGTCTGGGGTATTTTCATCATTCATCTATAAAACCACATCTCTTTCGCTTCCAAATAATTTGTTACTAATTGTCTACCTGTCCATGATTCACTCCCATAAATCAAGATATGATTTATAGCTCTTGAGAAGTCTTATCTCTCATCTCAACTGACAAAGGTCAGCAATGGTCATCATTGGTTTTCAGTAATGAGCACATTTTAACTATGCTAGACACAGAATCCTTCTATAATGGCTCGGGTAACAAGACAAGCATGGGAAAACAAACCCCAAAAAACATTTAAGTTAAATTAAAAAGGCTAAATTCAAGAAAGCAAAATACCTGAGCAAAATTTTAAAACATCAAAAAGACAAGAAAGACTATTAAACTAAGAAGAGAAATTTCACAATAACTAGATGGTAAAGAATAGTGACACTTCAAACTCCCAATGTGTGCTGTAAAAAGTGACTTAGCAGGGTTGGGGTGTAACTCTTATTTCATACTGTGGAAAACTAGCTGCAAAATGCAGCCAATCAAGAAGAAAATCTAAAATATGTGGGTTGACAAGGGGTCTATGATTGCCTAAGAGATTAAATGCAAAAGAAAATAAACAAAACTACTAACCTCTAAGATTCCTTCATAAATATACTTGAGAAATGCCTTGGCCGTTTCATAGGTCGTGTCCGATGGCAAGTTGACCTCCAGCTGTGATCGTGGATCTGCATTCTTAAATGTTTCCTGCAGGTAGGGACTCATAGCCAAAAGCACTAACTTGTGGACCTACGGAAAGATTTGCTATTTTATACTATCTTGTGAACCTTCGGAAACACATGCTATTATATACTAGCTTGTGAACGTACAAATGAATGTTGAATGAGGTATAAACATCACAGCACTCGGGACACTCCCATAAAAGCTCAGTCCCCATCTTCGGCAGCAAGTCAAGAGTTCCAATTCCAATGGTACCAGTAACGGTCTTCTTAGACGGTAATGATCTATTTGCACCTCTGCATTTCTCCAGCTTCTCTGACGGCTGCTTGTTGTTCATAATATAAACATTCAAGTCAATGTTTCCAATATGCTGGAAACCCCATACTTCTCATGATATTCAAGAATATTCAATTTTTGACGCAGTCGGAAGCTGTACTATAATCAATAAAACAAGCATGAAAATCTACACTGTACTTTCTACACTTTTCAAAAATTATTCCTAACCAACAAAACCTGCAACAGAACTTACTCAAATATTATATACTAACTTGTGAACCTAAAGGAAGAAATGTTATAATACAATTCCTGACTATAGCATGTCTAACCAGAAAACTCAATAATTACGCAAAAGGAAAATAGATACAATAGAAAACAAGACATGAAAACAAAAGAAGAACTCAAATGACTGGAAACCTAAATTCAAAAGCTCCCAGCCTAGCTATGAAGCATGAAATTTTGAGTATTCATTTATTTAAATAATGACACAAAACAATTTACCACACAATCAGAGACGTGAAATGAAGCAACAACAAAATTAACCCTTTCTGCTGATATAAACAAATCACAATGTCTCGTTACAAAGTACATCTCACCCCTAGAAACTGAAGATTAGCCACAGGACTGCCACTGCAATTTCAAATTTACCACATGCTCTTTTTGTCTGCACAAGCAGAATAGTTCACTTTAATTATCACTGCTGCCACTAGTTTCAGTTAATGCCTTCTTTCGTTCGCCTGAAATAAGTTGTCTATATCAGCAATTTTGTCTCTTGTATAAATTTCACTGTTGTTAATTCATTCAGTGGTCCATAGAGTTTACCTTCCACTGTTGTTCTTTCTGGCCAAAAGATATGCCTTAGCGTGTCAAATTCCGTGCAGTCCTGGAGTACATGCTCTGCTGTCTAGGGCACCTTTCCACAGGTGCACATGGCTGATACGCCTTGAATTTTGTGTACATGCGATTATGTAATCGGCTGTGCCCCGTTCTTAGGTAGAGGAAAATGACTTGTTCTGGTCTGTCCGTAATAAAATAGCCGTCTTGTGCTGGTGGTTTCGTGATCGATTTAATGATTCTTTTCTTTTGGTGTTATGTGACTGGTACATCCGGCTGCACTTTTGTCGCACCTTCCCCTGCCAGTTGATCAGCTTTCTCATTTCCAGGCACTCCACAATGAGACGGTATCCACTGCATTACGACTCTTCGCTGAAGGCTGAGTTGTGTCAGCAGTGTTTGCAATTCTGGTAGTTTCCTAGACTGGAGTGCTTCAAGTACTGATTTAGCATCTGTAAGCATTACCACATACTGTTAGCCAAGATTGGTATTTAGCAGTTTCTCTGTGGCTATCTTGATAGCCTGAGTTTCTGCATCATAGTTATGGCAGTACTTTCCAGTTGGTACGCTGGACTTTTCCCTAGTACCATCTGGGAATTCTATGCACACTCCAGCCCCACTATTTCTAACTGCACTTTGTGCGGACCTATCTGTTTAGACTCTGACCTATTGTTCTTGTGGATATTCTTCATCAATATAACCGAGGGTGGCCATTCTGCGTTGTACACTATCTTGCTCTTTCTTATCAAATATCCCTTTCACATTAGTTAATGCCTATTCAGTGTGTATTAAAAAAAACTGGAGGAACAGACTGCAAAATGGCACAAAAGGATGGCAATGATTGTCTCGCATCCTGGCTGCATACTCTATCAGACTGCTGCTGTTCATTCATCTCTTGGTATTATTTCTCATTATCTCTTCATTTTATCTTTTTTATTTCAACAACTGTCTTTTTATTTCCGTCTCTGTGAAACTATATTTGATTTTTGTTACCATGTAATACAACTTATATAAACAACACACACAAAATAAATATGTTGTGCAACTAAATGTGTGCAGTATTTTACTCAACGTTTACAATGGTTCAATTCCCAAGGTGGACCTACACACAGTAGTAAGAGAGTCACAATTTAAATGAGACGGGTCCCACCAAGTAATATTTCCAGTTAGCAGTAGGTGCAATACAGCCAGCTTCTACTGAGGAGACAGTACCAGTATTTATTTGATAAGAGATAAAAGTGAAGTCTGAACAAAGATATGTTTGTGACTTTTTATCAGTTGTTCTAGGCCTGGATAAAGTTACAAAATGGCTCCCCCCCAAAAAAAAAACAGAATGAAGAATCAACTTACTTGCAAAAAGTACCCAGCTTACCCACAGAGTATACAAGACCCTACTTACATGCAGTTTTTTGTTGGTGACACCGAGAGAGGCGTCAAAGAACTTTCCTTTCCTCCACAGAGTGGAGAATTTCTCCTGGAGATCATTGCCGTGATCAGGGTCAGCGTAGACTTTCATGGTTGTCGGGGGTGTAGGCTGGTGCTGAACGATCTTCTCTGAAACATTGACAGAAACTTTTTACTTCTGTGTCAAAATGTCTTTACATTTGCATTTACCAAATTTTAGGGTGTTGTAGGACAGATTCGTAAGCCTGAGAAATTGAACTGCAGGTTAGGATGTTTATTTTTGCCCCTGACAGAAAGCTGTCATCACCTTATTTAAGGATTTCAACCAGTCTACCACATGAGCCAGCATTTGAGCCCCTCAGCCAACCACTCCTCTTTGCTTGCATTTAACAGAAGTCCTTATTATCCCTGTTTTTAAATAACAAACTGTTACTTTTCCACCACTGTTTGAATGTTACAGAATGTCACTCATTTTCCCTCTCCCACTATTTTCCTGCTACAAAATACTGTTTATTATATTTGGACACTGATCTTCAGACTCCCATTAACAACAAGTTTCCTTTGCTCCTGCTGTTGCCACATTCTCAACTTCTTTGATGTCATCCCTGTATTATTTTTCTCTAATATTCTTTCTCAGTCATTTAAAGATCTCCCTCCTAGTTTTGTTTTCTTTTAGTTATTTGGGTTCGAAAAACAAAAAAGAAAACACTCATTCTATTTATACTACTACTATCAGGTCCTCCCAATGTGTGTCCTGAAGACCCTACAGATATGATCAAAATGTAGCTATACACAGTGGAAATGTCTTTTGTGGATCAGTTACCAAGTCACCAAGTGTCACAGCACAAATCATCCATTTGAAAAAATGTCAACCATTTTGATCTGTAGCATTTATATTGTGGATAATTTTCAGCATGGAGGAGAAAAGATGGCTGACTTTAAATTAGACTGCAATTGGAACCATTAGTATGGCAGTGTAATGATGCCAACTCTTGATACATTTATACTATTTCTAATAGGTTCAAAAAAATTCAACTTATACATTACACAAATCAAGAATATGAAACAGCTTAACATGGCTAAAAAGCAGAAGATGAAGGCCTCTAAATTAAAGTTTTAAAACCAAATTATGTATTTTCAATAATAATATTTCAATTTTAATCTATGCCGATGAAATCTGGAGAACAACTGAAGAAATAGAACAAAAGTTTATTGAATCTGAACATAAATTAGGATGAATTCAAAATAAGTGAAGAAAGAAAAATGTCTGGGTAATAACTGGTAACAACAATTATTTATTAAATGAAGATGGCACTATACTAGATACCTGCTGAAAAGAAATGAGCAGAGAATCACTAAGCAGGCATTCAAATATAAAACAAGATTTAGGAAGTGAGGACGTTCATAAGAAACTCTAAAACGTACACTGATGAAAAAAGCCAAACGTGTCGGACTCATTTTAATCCATGGTATCGAAAGGAACTGCATAGGATAGAATGAAATGGAGGAGGAACAGACTGTCAGCCCTATGTGAATATAATGGCACCTGAAGACAATGAGGAACCGACATCATCGACACAGGAACTCTTCTCTGATAGTTAGGATCTAAAGATTTAACTTAAATATTACACAAAACCAAGTCTGTGAAAATACCATAACAACAGGGTTTAGCAGCAGAATGTTAGCAACTGGTGGCTGTTTATATTTGCCTCACTCACTGTAGCAAGCAACTATTAACAAATATATTTGAACATCACAGTTCAACAAGAAAAAGTACACAGTACAGTGACAGCCTCAGTTACCACGAGGATCCTTTCTCTTTCCTGCTTTATCCATGTTTCTTATGTAACAATACCCAGTTTATTTAGTGACAACCAACTCTCAGGACAGGCAGAAGGTAGAATGACGGGAATCAATAACAGCAGAAACGGGTAAATACAGGCTCAGGAAAAGTGAATGGAGAGTAAGTATAGTTCACTATGACTAAAGCTCATAACAAGAAAGGCAGGAATTGATATCACCAGACAGGGGGAGGGGAGGGGGGGGGGGGGATAAGTTAATGAAGCATAACTGATCATGATTTAAACTCACAACAGGTCAGAAAGACTTGAGCTAATGTCAGCAGAAAAAAGGGGGGCAGAGGGGACCTGAATGAAGAATAAGTACAGTTCACTGTGTCTAAAAAAAAAAAAACAGTTCAGAAGACAAGGCAGAACAAAAAAGCATGAGTTGTTCTATTAGTTACAGGACACACTGTGGCTGACAGTCACTGTCAACTGGCTGAGAGTAAACATAAGAAGACAGCTCACACAACAGCTGAACTGGGTTAACCAACATCACAGGTCTCATGTCATTTCCACTATGTTCTATATCCCCAATCTGCAGAATTACAGCTGTGATATTCTTCTTCTTCTTTACCTTTCAGCCCAGCACGTCTGATGTTGCCAAATCCTTAATCAGTCCCCTTTTACAACATGTTTTTTGGGGGTGGTGGGTCTATCCCTCCCCCGTCCCCCACAAATTGGGGCCCAAAAAACCCACACAGGGAGTTAAATCACATTATCATAATTTAACAAATGTACATCTTATATAATAAATGTAATGATGGTTTGAAACAACAACTGTGTTAGCATTCATCTTGTCTTTCCTCTGAGCTTTAAGTGTCCATTTACTTTTGCAATCACCCCCTCCCCCCTTTTTTTAACCCTCAAAACAGATCAATCTGTGCAGATAATAACATTACCAGGGTCGGAAATCAATTAATAAGACAGAAAAATGTAAAACTGGCACAAAATCAAGATAATGTGTTCCTGTTGTGTTTCACAAACAAGACATGTTTTTTTTTCACCATGTCCTTGTCTTCTGGCTGAAAGTCCTGATTGTGCGTCCACATCTGTACAGGAGTCTTGTTCCAGAACCTGCGTGTTACGTGCACATCCATTTTACAGATCTGACATGCTTGTTTGCAGACTGCTGTTGGCTCTTTGCCTCTCAGGCAGATGCACTCTTATTTCGAAGGAAGCCCCCAGTTAGTCAACTCTTATGCTTGTTGGGGAAGTGCAGTCGGTCTACTCTTGTTTTCCCCCACAATGGGACCCCGGAACCCACACACGAATGTTGAATTAAAAACTGACATCACAGCACTCGGGATACTCCTGTAAGTGCTCGGTACCATCTTTAGCAGCTAGCGAAGAATTCCAATTCCAATGATACCAGTAACCATCTGATTGTATATTCATCTCATCCTTCCCCTGAGTGTTCAGTGTTGGCCAGATCCCCTGGTAACTCCTCGCAGTGCCATTCTCCTTAGACCTCCTTAGAATTTCCTTTAACATCACAGTAAACAGTACAGTGACTGAGAATTTCCTTAAACATCACAGTAAACAGTACAGTGACTGAGAATTTCCTTTTACATCACATTAAACAGTACAGTGACTGAGAATTTCCTTAAACATCACAGTAAACAGGACAGTGACTGAGAATTTCCTTTAACATCACAGTAAACAGAACAATGACTAAGAATTTCCTTTAACATCACAGTAAACAGGAAAGTGACTGAGAATTTCCTTTAACATCACAGTAAACAGGAAAGTGACTTAGAATTTCCTTTAACATCTCAGTAAATAGTACAGTGACTGATAATTTTCTTTAACATCACAGTAAACAGTACAGTGACTGAGAATTTCCTTTAACATCACAGTAAACAGTACAGTGACTGAGAATTTCCTTTAACATCACAGTAAACAGTACAGTGACTGAGAATTTCCTTTAACATCACAGTAAACAGGAAAGTGACTTAGAATTTCCTTTAACATCACAGTAAACAGTACAGTGACTTAGAATTTCCTTTAACATCACAGTAAACAGGAAAGTGACTAAGAATTTCCTTTAACATCACAGTAAACAGTACAGTGACTGAGAATTTCCTTTAACATCACAGTAAACAGTACAGTGACTGAGAATTTCCTTTAACATCACAGTAAACAGGAAAGTGACTTAGAATTTCCTTTAACATCACAGTAAACTGGATAATGACTGAGAATTTCCTTTAACATCACAGTAAACAGAATAATGACTAAGAATTTCCTTTAACATCACAGTAAACAGTACAGTGACTGAGAATTTCCTTTAACATCACAGTAAACAGTACAGTGACTGAGAATTTCCTTTAACATCACAGTAAACAGAACAATGACTAAGAATTTCCTTTAACATCACAGTAAACAGAACAATGACTAAGAATTTCCTTTAACATCACAGTAAACAGAACAATGACTAAGAATTTCCTTTAACATCACAGTAAACAGAACAATGACTAAGAATTTCCTTTAACATCACAGTAAACAGTACAGTGACTGAGAATTTCCTTTTACATCACAGTAAACAGAACAATGACTAAGAATTTCCTTTAACATCACAGTAAACAGGACAGTGACTGAGAATTTCCTTTAACATCACAGTAAACTGGACAATGACTGAGAATTTCCTTTAACATCACAGTAAACAGAACAATGACTTAGAATTTCCTTTAACATCACAGTAAACAGGACAGTGACTTAGAATTTCCTTTAACATCACAGTAAACGGGACAGTGACTTAGAATTTCCTTTAACATCACAGTAAACAGGACAGTGACTAAGAATTTCCTTTAACATCACAGTAAACAGGACAGTGACTGAGAATTTCCTTTAACATCACAGTAAACTGGACAATGACTGAGAATTTCCTTTAACATCACAGTAAACAAAACAATGACTGAGAATTGCCTTTAACATCACAGTAAACTGGACAATGACTGAGAATTGCCTTTAACATCACAGTAAACTGGACAGTGACTGAGAATTTCCTTTAACATCACAGTAAACAGAACAATGACTAAGAATTTCCTTTAACATCACAGTAAACTGGACAATGACTGAGAATTGCCTTTAACATCACAGTAAACTGGACAGTGACTGAGAATTTCCTTTAACATCACAGTAAACAGGAAAGTGACTTAGAATTTCCTTTAACATCACAGTAAACAGTACAGTGACTTAGAATTTCCTTTAACATCACAGTAAACAGGAAAGTGACTGAGAATTTCCTTTAACATCACAGTAAACAGTACAGTGACTGAGAATTTCCTTTAACATCACAGTAAACAGTACAGTGACTGAGAATTTCCTTTAACATCACAGTAAACAGGAAAGTGACTTAGAATTTCCTTTAACATCACAGTAAACTGGATAATGACTGAGAATTTCCTTTAACATCACAGTAAACAGAATAATGACTAAGAATTTCCTTTAACATCACAGTAAACAGTACAGTGACTGAGAATTTCCTTTAACATCACAGTAAACAGTACAGTGACTGAGAATTTCCTTTAACATAACAGTAAACAGAACAATGACTAAGAATTTCTTTTAACATCACAGTAAACAGAACAATGACTAAGAATTTCCTTTAACATCACAGTAAACAGAACAATGACTAAGAATTTCCTTTAACATCACAGTAAACAGAACAATGACTAAGAATTTCCTTTAACATCACAGTAAACAGTACAGTGACTTAGAATTTCCTTTTACATCACAGTAAACAGAACAATGACTAAGAATTTCCTTTAACATCACAGTAAACAGGACAGTGACTGAGAATTTCCTTTAACATCACAGTAAACTGGACAATGACTGAGAATTTCCTTTAACATCACAGTAAACAGAACAATGACTTAGAATTTCCTTTAACATCACAGTAAACAGGACAGTGACTTAGAATTTCCTTTAACATCACAGTAAACGGGACAGTGACTTAGAATTTCCTTTAACATCACAGTAAACAGGACAGTGACTAAGAATTTCCTTTAACATCACAGTAAACAGGACAGTGACTGAGAATTTCCTTTAACATCACAGTAAACTGGACAATGACTGAGAATTTCCTTTAACATCACAGTAAACAAAACAATGACTAAGAATTTCCTTTAACATCACAGTAAACTGGACAATGACTGAGAATTGCCTTTAACATCACAGTAAACTGGACAGTGACTGAGAATTTCCTTTAACATCACAGTAAACAGAACAATGACTAAGAATTTCCTTTAACATCACAGTAAACTGGACAATGACTGAGAATTTCCTTTAACATTACAGTAAACAGGACAGTGACTGAGAATGTCCTTTAACATCACAGTAAACAGGACAGTGACAACAGACAATTACCATGCTCCTCCTTGTTCATTCCCACCCCATCGAGACTCCTGATGTGACCAATATTCGATTTACTTAGTGATGCTTGACCTTCAGTTGTGGGCGAGGCTGCCCTTTGCATCGGGGTCACAGTACCAGACTTGACACCTACGTATGCAAATTCTCAGGTCAATAAAGCACAAGAACTTGACTATGAAATCTATCACACTAAATTCTCACTCCCGTCCTGGCCAGTTTCCATAATGTTATGGTATCACAGCACACTAGTCTACATTGGGCCGGAAGTGCAGAGAGTGGCCAGCGGGTGCTACGGAGGTGGAAGGCCAACAGTTTATTTAGACAATTCCCACCAAGGTGATCTGATTATCTATACAGATGGTTCGGTGCTGAGAGTAAAGAGAAGTACCTGGGGGTTCGTAGCGAAAGCCAATAGAAAATCTTCAGTGCAAGACAGCATAGCATACAACATCACAACATCTAGCATGAGAATGGAGGTGGGACAGTAACTGCAGCTCTCCGGTGGCATACACATGACGTAATTGTAACAGACTGTGAAGGTATGCTGAGAAAGGTGAAGACAGGGACGCTTTCGAGCAGAGTGGCAAGCTTTACTGGGAAGGTCACGGGTAGTGAGCATACTTTGGATCTTTCCTCCTGGCCATGCCTGCACAGTGGGTAATAAACTGGCAGACAGATTGGTTGGATGTGCACCACTGAGTGGTGAATTACTACATGACAATGCTGATGTGGTCAAGGCCCTTTGTGAACAAGCAACAGAATTAGTAGAGAAACAAGATTATTATGACCTGGAGAGAATGAGGCACCTGGGTGTAACCAGAGGGTCTGGCCAGCTCACTACACTCAGAGGAAAGGCAAGACAAACATATAACTAGATTGTGATTGGTACCATCAGTAATGGAACTCTGCACTGGCTGCTGAAGATGAGGATGGAGCACACATGAGAATGCTCTGAGTGCTATGTTGTCAATTCTTGACTAAACTCAACTCAGCACACTAGTCTTTCCCATATTCCGCTCAATCTTCTGGTGCAGTAGCCAGTTAGGCTACCTCTACCGACTGTTTCCATGAGGAGCTGGTTAGAATGGATATAATCTCTGCCTTGAAAGCAGCACAGGCATGCCTGACCCTGCTTTATAACCAGGTCGGTGTCCGAGATTGAACCTTATCCACTAGACCAGACCATACAGCGTTTATGTAACCAACTTTTTCCAGGCTTCCTCCCACATATGTTGGTGCACTGCTTGCCAGTTGGTCTACTCGTTCATGACATTTTACTCTGGCCTGCCCATGTGTGTAGATTTCTTGCTTATAAGCCAACAGTGTTGTAAATGTTAGTGTATCTGCTTCCTGGCATAGCAAGTAAGGACCCCTTTAAATGCCATAAGGCATATTGGGTATACGAAGCCAGACAAATCAGCACTCAATGATAGTTTGGTAAACAGGATGTAAGTCAAGGATTTTTCCAGCACTGAGTTCATTTGTACTTGTAATAATCTGTTGTGTTTTTTTTTTCTTCAGTTTAATTACAAATAAACCATTTTAAAACTATATATAAAAGAATAAAAGGCAATGAAGTTATGCAATTGATATTTTGATTTATGATGGTGTTTTTTTCTCCAAGTTCATGTTAAGAGTGTGTGGGATTTTTATTCTCTACTTTTTTAAATCACATTATTTTTTTATTGTCATGGAAGTGAACGAATGCAAGAGTAAGGAAAAAAGAAAGAAATCAACAGAGCAGAAAGAAAGAAAGAAAGAAAGAAAGAAAGAAAGAAAGAAAGAAAGAAAGAAAGAAAGAAAGAAAGAAAGAAAGAAAGAAAGAAAGAAAGAAAGAAAGAAAGAAAGAAAGAAAGAAAGAAAGAAAGAAAAAGAAAGAAAGAAAGAAAGAAAGAAAGAAAGAAAGAAAGAAAGAAAGAAAAGAAAGAAAGAAAGAAAGAAAGAAAGAAAGAAAGAAAGAAAGAAAGAAAGAAAGAAAGAAAGAAAGAAAGAAAGAAAGAAAGAAAGAAAGAAAGAAAGAAAGAAAGAAAGAAAGAAAGAAAGTAAAATGTCAGTGTAATTTGCTAACAGTCACATTAGCTCACCAGTAAAGGAATGTTCCATGGCTTCATGAAGGCCCGATTCCTCCTTGACAAGCCGCTTGGCACTGTGGGCTTCTTCCACACTGACATGACTCTCCTGAAGCTGTTGGTGCAGCAAAGCTGAACTCAGCTGAAAATATCACAGGAAATACTAGAGAGGGCAACCGGCTTTTATAGCGGTAAACATGATGTGTGAATTTATTTTATCGGTAATAGTGTAACTGGACGGCACTTGCAGGAAATTCACAGTGTAAAAGAGACAGGGAAAAGGGATTTTATCAATAACAGTATAACTAGAACGTACAGAATATAAGATAACAATATAACCAGATGTATAGAATACTGGATAACAGTATAACTACATTGTATAGAAAATTGGATAACAGTATAACTACATTGTATAGAAAATTGGATAACAGTATAACTACATTGTATAGAAAATTGGATAACAGTATAACTACATTGTATAGAATATTAGATAACAGTATAACTAGAACGTTTAGAATACTAGATATCAGTATAGCTAGAACGTATAGAATACTAGATAACAGTATAACTAGAATGTATAAAATACTAGATAACAGTATAACTAGAACATATAGAATATTAGAAAACCGTATAACTAGAATGTATAAAATACTAGATAACAGTATAACTAGAATGTATAAAATACTAGATAACAGTATAACTAGAATGTATAAAATACTAGATAACAGTATAACTAGAATGTTAGAATACTAGATATAACTAGAATGTTAGAATACTAGATAACAGTATAACTTGAATGTATAGAATACTAGATAACAGTATAACTAGAATGTTAGAATACTAGATAACAGTATAACTAGAATGTATAGAATACTAGATAACAGTATAACTAGAATGTATAAAATACTAGATAACAGTATAACTAGAATGTATAAAATACTAGATAACAGTATAACTAGAATGTATAAAATACTAGATAACAGTATAACTAGAATGTATAAAATACTAGATAACAGTATAACTAGAATGTATAAAATACTAGATAACAGTATAACTAGAATGTTAGAATACTAGATAACGGTATAACTAAAACTGTATTGAAAATTGTGTAGAATGCCCTTGCACTGAAAGTCACAATATAAAAAGAGACAAGGAAAGGGGACATTTCTTTGTCTTCTTCTCAAAGTCCATGCTGCGTATTGGTAGTCAAGCCTTATCCTCAGCATTCTTCTTGAGTATTTTCAATCATTTCCTACACAGATGATCTTTTATAACATGGTGTCATTCTGTCCAGTATCTTCTCTCTTGGTCTCCCTCTGTATCTTTTCCCTTCAACTTGCCGACTGTTACGATGTACTCAGTTGTCTCCTTCTCATGACGTGACCGAAGAGTGTAGATTGTCCTCTTTCTGATGTCGGCAACCAGTTCTCTTTATGAGCTACATTCAAGACACCTCTGTTATTTTCATCCGTCCAGTGTGTTATCATCATCTGCCTACAAAACCACATTTCTGCGGCTGTCACATAAATTGTCACTGGCCCACTAATTGTTACTGCATAGCGTGGCATGAGGTGTCTTTTGTGCAGCCAAATACGAGTCTCAAAACCTCCATTTGTAATTGTTTCCATCCTTCTAGCTTGGTTCTGCTAACAGCAAGGATACCCATACCACAGTCTACAACATTTATACCCATACATCTCATATAAGTTTACTACTGTAGAAAAGAATGATGCATGCATGGGAATGTCTGAAGTGTAGTGATACTGATTCTTCATTCACCGACTTCCCGGTACGGGTTCTGAGGCCCACCGGAGGACTTGGGGGAAGGGGAGGGGGGGATTTACTGTCCCTTAATAAGCATGCCATAAAATACAATTAATTAAGGATTTGCTGAAATCAGATGCGTTAGGGTAAAGAAATGCAGGTATCACAGCCTAGCTGTAAACCACAAAACAAGTGCCACCACCCTTTTATGTGTGAAAGCAGAAGAAAAATCCCTGACTAATGCAATTTTCAAAAAAATAGCATACAGACTATTTTTACATCTTCTTCCCCCCCCCCCCCCCTTTTTTTTCCAAACAACTGAAAGAATAGAACAATATTCACTAACGCTCACTCATTCTGTTTAATCCATTCTTTCATTTATACATTTGAAATATTCCAAATATGACCATAATTCACTGACTCTCACTCACTCCATTACTGTTTCATTTATTTATTTATACACAGAGACATTCCTTCTTTCTATTCAGCCCAAAGCTTAGTTGTCAGGTCTACTTGGTGTGGCCACATACTGAGCTCCTCCAGGAGAGGACAGTCTTGTAAGAAGTGTTCTGGGGTCTGTTCAGGACAAAGCTTAGTTGTCAGGTCTACTGGGTGTGGCCACATACTGAGCTCCTCCAGGAGAGGACAGTCTTGTAAGAAGTGTTCTGCGGTCTGTTCAGGACAAAGACACTGGCAGAGATCTGTTTGGCTCATACATAATTGACATGAGTGTTTGCTGAGTCTGCAATGTCCAGTGCGTGAACAAAAAATGATAGCTTGGTCACTTCTGTTTGAATCAGCAGTTCTCATGTAGCTCGCGATCCTTTTGTGGATAGAATGACCCTTTCACAGGGGACGCCTAAGATCATCGGACAACACATATTTACAAAAGTTATGAAGTAGCAACGAAAATGATTATATGACTGGGGGTTGCCACAACATGAGGAACTGTATGTAAGGTCCTGGCATTAGGAAAGTTGAGGGCCACTCATTTAGATGTTCAAGGAAATCATTTTTATATCCAGTGTTTGTTTCCCAGAATTATTCTAAAAATAACCGTAAAGCCGGTGAAGGGAAAGACAGTAATGCTACAAATATAGAACACCTACCTGCATCTGCTGTTCGTGAAGTGACGGGTGTGTGTGTAACGAAGGCAACATGTGAGATGACGGAAGCAGATGTGCACTAGGATGATATGAAGAGGCAGACGACGACTGCATAAACTGTTGCTGAAGCAGCGCTGCTGCTGCTGTCATGTCCTCAGACGCCCCCGCTGGTGCTGAAGGCTCCGACACCACTGTGGCTGCAGACTCCTGCTTCAGTTTCTTTATCTTGGAAGGATGGCCAGAGGACCGCTTCTGTCTTTTCTCCAAACTTGATGAAAATAAAGATGATTTTGGCAACTTTGACTGTTTCTTTGAGGATCGAGGAGTCCCTGAGGGGTCCAGAAGGGAATTTGATGGATCAGTGGACAGCTCTCGCATTTTTCTGGGTTTTTTACTCCTGCGCAAATTTCTGGCACACATAGACAAGTCTCTCTGGATACGCCGCTGAGGAAAGAATCCATAACAACTTTTAGAAGCTGGAAACTAAAACGTATTTCATCGTAATAAATTATAGAGTATTTTTATTACAATTACAAGTTCTTATGGAAAGGGGAAGTGCGGGATCACATGGGGTGGTTAGTGTGCCAGGGACTAGGCTCCTACTGGGTCAAGTGGGTCAGTGGTCATCCTAGAAACAGGTTCCTTATTACTGGGGGGGGGGACGCCTTGGCCAACATAGACAGAAGCAACGTTTCCTTCGAAGTTGGAGGGCATCTGTCAGAGAGGTGAGAAATCAACCGCCTGCATTCAGATAAGCCAGATCTGTAAAATGAATGTGTATGCAACACTCAATCCCTCAAACAAGATCAAACTCCAGATGTGGATGAACAACCAGGAATTTCCACTAGAGGTTAAGCCAGTGAACGTGAAACGAGAAGAAATGTTTAAAGATATTAAGCCAAACAGAGTTATAAAGAAGCATAACAAAGAAAAAATGTGCAAATATCAGTTAAAGCTACAAAAGGCACAATGTAATTTTATCCAAAACAGCACCAAAATTAAATGTACGAAGCACGAGTAGTTTTTACAGAAATCGTCACTGGTACTACAGAGTTTGTGCAGAGCTCTTAACAGGTGAGCAGACCTCTGTAAAGAGACCAAGCAATATGGGTTCAATCCCAGAACAGTCAAGTTGATACCATCAACAACATACATGTGTGTGAAACCAGATAATCTTCTCCTTCACTTCATGCAGTTACTACATCGAAGTGTTGAGGGAGATGTTCACTTCATATAGTTACTTCATCAAAGTGTTGGGGGAGATGTTCACTTCATGTAGTTACTTCATCAAAGTGCTGGGGGAGATGTTCACTTCATGTAGTTACTTCATCAAAGTGTTGGGGGAGATGTTCACTTCATGTAGTTACTTCATCAAAGTGCTGGGGGAGATGTTCACTTCATGTAGTTACTCCATCAAAGGGTTTGGGAACATGTAAGGATCTTCTATGTGCTCTTTCCTGAGCACTGTATAATCTGGTCTTCAGTTTCTTCAGTCTGTTTTTGATGCTGTCAGTCCATATTCTTCATGGTCTTACCCTGGCTCTGTGTCTATTTTATTTCTTCAGCATGGCTCTCTGTGGCTTTTGGTATCGGCATTCTCATCAGATGGCCAAACCATCTCATTACTGCTTCTTCTTCTTTGCATTCGGTTTCATATGCTCAGGTCAGACCATAGGTGGGTTACCTCTATGAACTTGCATGTCAGCTGCAGGTTCTTCCTGTCCCCCATAGCTTACTCAGCACACTTCACTCTTGAGGTCAGGTGTCTTTTCAAAGTTGTAGGTAGAGTGGGCAGGTCTGTAGAATGTGCTCAGGTGTTTGTGGTTCCGTCAGACATGTACGCTGTGGGGACTGTACAGTCTTTATTTTATACATGTGATAGCTGAGCCTGCAGTGTCCTGTTCTTGGAAAATTGTTGTTTCTTTCTTTCTGCTGAGTCTGCTGATGGAGTCTTGTGGATGTTTACTGTCGGTTTGTTCTCTCCACAATTCCTTGTATTTTCTTTCGATAAGTTTTTTTTTAATTTCTAGTAATGACAATTAGCGGGTGCATTGTTTCTCCTTGGTTCCATTTTTTTCAAGTCTGTCCGCTAACTCATTTCCCGGTATGCCACAGTAGGCTGGGATCTACTGGAGAACAACCTGATTGTTTTCTAAGAGTCTGTTTATATAACTGCTAAAATAAGACAATCACAGACAACATTTACTCACATAATTGGTCATTCCATCGGGAGAGTATTGTTTTCTAAGAGTCTGTTTATATAACTGCTAAAATAAGACAATCACAGACAACATTTACTCACATAATTGGTCATTCCATCGGGAGAGTATTGTTTTCTAAGAGTCTGTTTATATAACTGCTAAAATAAGACAATCACAGACAACATTTACTCACATAATTGGTCATTCCATCGGGAGAGGAGTCATCCTTGAGGTCGGGAAACTGCTGCACAACCAGTTCCGATATCCGGGTGTAGTCAGCACTTGACCACCAGTACTTGTGCCCCAGGAAGAACCGGGCGGTTTCTCTGATGATCTCAGACCTGTGCCTCATGGAAGAGCCCTCGGCTCGGGCACTCAGAATCTTCTGGGAGTAATTTGGAATGGGTAGAGGATCTGGTAGACAGACAATTTCCTGGTTTTCCTTCTTGAAGCCAGCACCATGAGGAAACCACACCTGGAGGTGAGAGTTCAAAACTTCGACAATGTGGACAATACTGAAATTAACTCATTAGTCTTAATAAACTAAAGATGACACTGCATATGGACATTACTGAAATTAAATCTTTTTGCTGTTACAAATTAATGACTTTATAAATAAATATAGGCAATAGTGAAACTAACTGTCTTATTATTTCTGTTAAAAAATTAATGATGTCCAAATATGGACAAAAATGAAATTAACTTATTAGTCTTATCAACTCCGTTCTAAATGAATGATGACACTATATACAGAAAATACTTTAATTAACTTATTAGTCTTTTGTTGGTTATAACTTAGTGACATTATACACTGGCAATACTGAAACTAACTTATTAGTCTTTTGTTGGTTATAACTTAGTGACATTATACACTGGCAATACTGAAACTAACTTATTAGTCTTTTGTTGGTTATAACTTAGTGACATTATACACTGGCAATACTGAAACTAACTTATTAGTCTTTTGTTGGTTATAACTTAGTGACATTATACACTGGCAATACTGAAACTAACTTATTAGTCTTTTGTTGGTTATAACTTAGTGACATTATACACTGGCAATACTGAAACTAACTTATTAGTCTTTTGTTGGTTATAACTTAGTGACATTATACACTGGCAATACTGAAACTAACTTATTAGTCTTTTGTTGGTTATAACTTAGTGACATTATACACTGGCAATACTGAAACTAACTTATTAGTCTTTTGTTGGTTATAACTTAGTGACATTATACACTGGCAATACTGAAACTAACTTATTAGTCTTTTGTTGGTTATAACTTAGTGACATTATACACTGGCAATACTGAAATTAACTTATTAGTCTTTTGTTGGTTATAACTTAGTGACATTATACACTGGCAATACTGAAATTAACTAATTAGTCTTTTGTTGGTTATAACTTAGTGACATTATACACTGGCAATACTGAAATTAACTTATTAGTCTTTTGTTGGTTATAACTTAGTGACATTATACACTGGCAATACTGAAATTAACTTATTAGTCTTTTGTTGGTTATAACTTAGTGATATTATACACTGGCAATACTGAAACTAACTTATTAGTCTTTTGTTGGTTATAACTTAGTGACATTATACACTGGCAATACTGAAATTAACTTATTAGTCTTTTGTTGGTTATAACTTAGTGACATTATACACTGGCAATACTGAAATTAACTTATTAGTCTTTTGTTGGTTATAACTTAGTGACATTATACACAGGCAATACTGAAACTAACTTATTAGTCTTTTGTTGGTTATAACTTAGTGACATTATACACTGGCAATACTGAAACTAACTTATTAGTCTTTTGTTGGTTATAACTTAGTGACATTATACACTGGCAATACTGAAATTAACTTATTAGTCTTTTGTTGGTTATAACTTAGTGACATTATACACTGGCAATACTGAAACTAACTTATTAGTCTTTTGTTGGTTATAACTTAGTGACATTATACACTGGCAATACTGAAACTAACTTATTAGTCTTTTGTTGGTTATAACTTAGTGACATTATACACTGGCAATACTGAAACTAACTTATTAGTCTTTTGTTGGTTATAACTTAGTGACATTATACACTGGCAATACTGAAACTAACTTATTAGTCTTTTGTTGGTTATAACTTAGTGACATTATACACTGGCAATACTGAAACTAACTTATTAGTCTTTTGTTGGTTATAACTTAGTGACATTATACACTGGCAATACTGAAACTAACTTATTAGTCTTTTGTTGGTTATAACTTAGTGACATTATACACTGGCAATACTGAAACTAACTTATTAGTCTTTTGTTGGTTATAACTTAGTGACATTATACACTGGCAATACTGAAACTAACTTATTAGTCTTTTGTTGGTTATAACTTAGTGACATTATACACTGGCAATACTGAAACTAACTTATTAGTCTTTTGTTGGTTATAACTTAGTGACATTATACACTGGCAATACTGAAACTAACTTTTTAGTCTTTTGTTGGTTATAACTTAGTGACATTATACACTGGCAATACTGAAACTAACATATTAGTCTTTTGTTGGTTATAACTTAGTGACATTATACACTGGCAATACTGAAACTAACTTATTAGTCTTTTGTTGGTTATAACTTAGTGACATTATACACTGGCAATACTGAAACTAACTTATTAGTCTTTTGTTGGTTATAACTTAGTGACATTATACACTGGCAATACTGAAATTAACTTATTAGTCTTTTGTTGGTTATAACTTAGTGACATTATACACTGGCAATACTGAAACTAACTTATTAGTCTTTTGTTGGTTATAACTTAGTGACATTATACACTGGCAATACTGAAATTAACTTATTAGTCTTTTGTTGGTTATAACTTAGTGACATTATACACTGGCAATACTGAAATTAACTTATTAGTCTTTTGTTGGTTATAACTTAGTGACATTATACACTGGCAATACTGAAACTAACTTATTAGTCTTTTGTTGGTTATAACTTAGTGACATTATACACTGGCAATACTGAAACTAACTTATTAGTCTTTTGTTGGTTATAACTTAGTGACATTATACACTGGCAATACTGAAACTAACTTATTAGTCTTTTGTTGGTTATAACTTAGTGACATTATACACTGGCAATACTGAAACTAACTTATTAGTCTTTTGTTGGTTATAACTTAGTGACATTATACACTGGCAATACTGAAACTAACTTATTAGTCTTTTGTTGGTTATAACTTAGTGACATTATACACTGGCAATACTGAAACTAACTTATTAGTCTTTTGTTGGTTATAACTTAGTGACATTATACACTGGCAATACTGAAACTAACTTATTAGTCTTTTGTTGGTTATAACTTAGTGACATTATACACTGGCAATACTGAAACTAACTTATTAGTCTTTTGTTGGTTATAACTTAGTGACATTATACACTGGCAATACTGAAACTAACTTTTTAGTCTTTTGTTGGTTATAACTTAGTGACATTATACACTGGCAATACTGAAACTAACATATTAGTCTTTTGTTGGTTATAACTTAGTGACATTATACACTGGCAATACTGAAACTAACTTATTAGTCTTTTGTTGGTTATAACTTAGTGACATTATACACTGGCAATACTGAAACTAACTTATTAGTCTTTTGTTGGTTATAACTTAGTGACATTATACACTGGCAATACTGAAACTAACTTATTAGTCTTTTGTTGGTTATAACTTAGTGACATTATACTGGCAATACTGAAACTAACTTATTAGGATTATGTTGGTTATAACTTAGTGACATTATACACTGGCAATATTGAAACTAACTTATTAGTCTTTTGTTGGTTATAACTTAGTGACATTATACACTGGCAATACTGAAACTAACTTATTAGGATATTAGAATTATGTTAGATTGTTCAATGTTATAAGACAAAATTGTTTATGAAAACAATTGAAATTACCTTATTTGTCTTATCCCTGTTATAAATTAATGTCGTCTATATAAGGACAATACTGATAAACCTTTAGGCCATTTACAGTGACTTAGAGCCTGATTTCTGGACTTGTTATAAAAAAAATTATGACAATATATATGGATAATACTGAAACATCTTTTACTGTCTGATTAACTCTGTGAATAGGAAAACCTGGCATGAGTTCCTTCAAGGACTATGTTTCACTGCGGAATAAAGGGTAGAAGACGAAAAAGAAAAAAAGAGACATTTTTAAAAAACTTTGAGGCCATTCTCAGTTGCTCAGTCTTGTCTCTGTTCAATGTTAAAATTGATCATTAAGCTGTGAAACTAGAATGCTCACAAACAAACTTGAAGAACTGATTTCAACACTGAATATATACTGCCAGCCCTATAATAGACCAACTGGCACCTAGTGAGATCACCATACAGGCATTAAAGTGGGATTTAGGTAGATTGAGGAAATGAGGATGTAGAAGAGAAACCCTGAGGTGATTGTTGAAGAGAGAAGCCAAAGGTGCTGGCTTGGATTCTGTCCGTGATATCAAAGTGATTGCCAGGATAGAATGAGATAAAGAAATAAAAAATGAGCCCTACGTGACATATAATGGCACAACCGGGTAATGAATGAATCAATCATTGATTTATTTCCTTTGTGGGTCCCTGTAAAATGGCAACAGACAAGCAAGATTCCTTGTATGTTAATTGTCTTTTCTGACTAAATTTACCACTTTTGATGATATGGGGTAGGAAGTCGTGAGCTTGACGATTCAAGGCTATATACCTAGTGCAATTGCCACAAAGTGAGCAGGCTTAATTTGTTTTTGTAATAGAATTAAGAAGCTGTGACCCTATCTGAACTCATTATTTGCATGTAAAGCAAGCATACTGATAGTTAAAAGCTTTTTTTTTCTACAAATGTTATAACAACATAAAGATGATAATTAAAAAGTCAATAAAATTATAATAAAATATTCAATGCCATACCCATTGCAGAGTTTCAGACCCATCACGACACTCATCAACAAGACGCCATTTAACTGTACGGTTTCACACAAATAATTACCAGTTTTACCTGATCCCTGGAGCTGAGAGACTGATCACCTTGATGGGAAGATCGTGGGGATGAAGATGCTCGTCTTCGGGGGCTTTGCGATTTAACTGAGGATGTTGTTACCTCAACCTGAGCTGCCAATCCAGCGGTGTCTGGAAGGGAATCTGGAAGGGGTGAATCTGTGTTCAGCCTGTGGGATACGTGCTTTTCCGACTCGTGGTACGTCAGGTTCATCGGAGCTTCTGTGGAACCAGGATGTGCTGAAGGGTCATGCCCAGTTAAATGCTGTATCTGGGCCTGTGAATGGGCTTGAGCCGCAGCCTGCTGGGGTCCCGGGTGAGCCAGGCTGGCCAGTGCCATGTTGGGAGCTGCCTGAGTGTCCCAATACGAGGGGTCATGTGTTGAGCTGCTGCTAGTCGAGGGAAAAGCTGATATAGGTACCGACAGATGCTGGTGATGATGCTTACTGGATGCCTTCCCACCTTCTCCACTCGGGGACATGGGCTCTCTCTTGACCAAATGTGTGTCTGACACACCCACTGAAAGTCCGTGGCTTTTATCTTCATGGTGTGAGCTACTGTGATTCAACTCCGCCTCTCTGAGTCGTTTTTCTACCTCTGCCTGTGAAATTCTTCTCTGGCGTTTACTAGGAATATCCAGCTCTCCTCCAGCCATTGATGAAGATGTGTCATGGGTTGGAGCTGTACTGTAATCAGAAGAATTAGGTCCTCTCTTGGTGCTTGTGATGTCCATGCCCAGCCCATAAAAAGCACTGAGGGCTGCCATAGCAGAAGTATCATTACCAAAAGCCCCTGAGGCCATCAAAGCTTGTCTTTGCTCCTCACTGGAGCACTGAGCAAGGTATTGTCTTTCCAAGTCTGTCACCTCCTGCGGGTACTGTTCAATACGTTGTTTTATACCTGCTAACAACGCTAGTTCCCCAAGATTCCGCTGCGTCATGCCCAGTTCTGTTAAGTTCATGTTTTGTGCAGCCATCAAAGCTTTCATGTACTCAGCAGTTCCTGGCATCACAGCCGCACTCACACTTGTGCTGTCAGAAATCTGTGGCTCCAGACCCATATGAGAGTTACCCCATGACTTCTGGGATGAGGGGATTGGCTTGTATTTGGCACTGGGCAGCCGACGCCTCATGTTGCGGGCACAAGTCCCTAAATCCTTTTTAACAGCTTGCTGTGTGAAATAAGAAGAGAAATATGCATCAAGATTCTTCTCTTAAATGTGTCTTTACTAGGTAACAAAGATGCATGAGCGTTACAGTATAGATAGCAATAAATTTTAAAAAACCTAAGTTAGTACAATGTTAACTAGATTTGTGACAGATACTGCTGTATAGAATTAAAAGCATTTGGCTATAAACATATAATAGAACATGATATAAGGTGGGTTAACGACTTCCCATCATCAGGTGACCATCTCCCTTCTTCACAGCCTTAGGTGACCATCTCCTGTTCTTACAGCCTTGGATAACCCCTTCCTGCCTCACATTCCTGGGTGTATAATCTCCTTTCCTCACAGCCTTAGGTGTCCATCTCCTGTCCTTACAGCCTTGGATAACCCCTTCCTTCCTCACAGCCCTGGGTGTTTGATCTCCTTTCCTCACAACCTTAGGTGACCATCTCTCCTCTTCACAGCCTTGGATGACCATCTCCTTTCCTCATTGCCTCGTGTGACCATCTCCCTTCCTCACTGCCTGGGGTAACCATCACCATTTTTCACTGCCTCTACTGTATATACAGTTCTAGCACCCATGTTACAAGACTAAGTTGACCCCCAAAAGCCTAAACCACCCGCTTCTTTAGCAAAGGCACTAACTACTATACCACCATAGCCCAAATGATAATTGCAAGCAGAGATACTGGTATGTTTTTAAATGTGGAAGTAAATGAGAAGCCAAAGATGGACATGCAGCTCAGCAAGACCTTATCACAAAGACAACATTCAGACAACTCAGGGTGGGATACATGCAGAGAGACTGAAGTCCCAAAAGGGACCATGCACAAATTTAGTATATTCTTAACACCGGATAATAAACAGATTCACATATATTGACTGGCACTTATAGAAAGAGAGATCTCTACAGGGGGATGGATGGCTGTCAATGGGTCTGTGGTTGACAAAGTGAGAAGCTTGTGTGCTTTTACGAATCAGGTTGGAGTACAAAAATTTGAAGCAAGATTCTGGTACTTTTGTGTTGATGCAGGTAGTCTGACCATGGAGGTCATAGAAGTGACCAAAGCAATAACATAGCTGAAGACACAGACCTTTACTCACACATGTTTTCTCAGTAAGTATGTTCAGGAAGATAGAGACAGGGTGGGTCAGAAGACAGTGGTTACAGTCTGAGTTGGTCGAGGGTGACATATATCAGTTTCATATATTCGTGCCAGGGATCACAGGCATGCAAGGAAATGACCGAGCTGATAGACCTGCAGGTAAAGCAACTGTGGACAGTGGACGTGCCACTGACCAGGCTGATATACTAAATGCTCTACAAGAAGTAAGATGTTTGTGAGAACTAAGTGAGGACTGACAATCTGCAGCCATGACCAGACTGCAAGAACAGTGTGTTAAAAAGGGGGTGTCCAGATGAGAACACTAGGCAGGAAGCCAAATAAGAAACCAAAATAATACTAGTGTTGTCAGCCACTACACGCTGCGGGATTGACTGAGGAGGGGATCCGAGCACATCTGGGCTGAATGGTTCAATGTGCAGTGAGGATAATCTGTGGACTAACTAACTAGCTATAAAGACAGATATCAGGATATACTAGACAACATACAAATCAAAAGCTATAGTTAACATATTAACTATTATAACCATAATTTTAGATTTTGAATGTCGTATAACATGTCCACAATTTTCTACTTTTTCTGAGTGCCAATCGATTAAGGTTAATCCATTTATCATAGTGTTTCTATGGTCCCTAAACTATTTATTTGTAACCCCGTACAAGAACAACGAGTAGGACTGGACAGAAGCATATTCACCTTTACCATGCACACACTGAGTAGCTAACCAGCACACACGTACTCAATAACATACAAAGCACAAAACACACACGGCAATCACGTACAAACATAACAGGAATATTGGCAGGGACAAGGGCTAAATTTTAAAAAAAAAAAATTTTTAATATTTGAAAGTACCATTGTTCCGTGTGTTTCTTTTTGTTGTTTTTTTTTTCCTGGTTACTCTCCCTGAAGGCTGGACTATACACATGGCTAGCTCCGAGGTTAGTGCATTTCACAAACCTTGGCATAGCAGGATTCTTCTTCTTATTTTGATTTTTCTTCCATGTTCTATGTTCACCTTTAAAAAGACGGTCTGACCTAGTCTGGTAATCTTACCTCCAGGTTACATATTTCATCATCCATACACTCCAACCTTTTTCTCTTCTTCTTTATATTCATCCTTAAAAGTGTCATGGTTTGCAGCCATCTGTGTCTGCATTTGTATGCCAAAAACAGCCGGTTTCAGCACACCCTAAAATAAGTCACCTTTCATAACATGCTTGTTAGCGGCAGCGTGTAAACCCCCCCCCCCCCCATGTGAGGATTACCTGGGTTTGATTTCCGTGCCTTAACCGCGCAAATAAAAAGTAAAGGACTTTTAAGCAGACTGGACATACAGGAATAGACCAGCCGGTACTCAGTGGGTGTTGTGGTCAACAACACCCTGGCCGCCTTTACTTTCCAGGATTTTACCTGGTACCCATTTAAGGCTGGGTCGACCTGGCAGCCAAGGTCATTTTTGACAAATGTCCATCTCAGCTAGAACCGGAACCTACAACCTTCAGATCCGCGCACACCAGCATCTAGCCACTACACCAGAAAGACTCCTTAGAGCTGCACGATGCAATCACCGAAACTAGACACCTTCACAATAGTTCTGTTTCTTCTGGAACATCCTCTGTGTGTGTGCCCAACTGTTTGCTCTTCCATGTAATGATATTACTTTCTGTTACTTCCCCTGTGTTCTTACAAAATACATTGATTCTACGCCAAATATCTCTCCTCAATCACGCAGATGCTACACTCCAAGTATCTCTCCTCAATCAAGCACATGCTACACTCCAAGTATCTCTCCTCAATCACGCAGATGCTACACTCCAAGTATCTCTCCTCAATCAAGCAGATGCTACACTCCAAGTATCTCTCCTCAATCAAGCACATGCTACACTCCAAGTATCTCTTCTCAATCAAGCAGATGCTACACTCCAAGTATCTCTCCTCAATCAAGCAGATGCTACACTCCAAATATCTCTCCTCAATCACGCAGATGCTACACTCCAAGTATCTCTCCTCAATCACGCAGATGCTACACTCCAAGTATCTCTCCTCAATCAAGCAGATGCTACACTCCAAGTATCTCTCCTCAATCAAGCACATGCTACACTCCAAGTATCTCTTCTCAGTCAAGCAGATGCTACACTCCAAGTATCTCTCCTCAATCAAGCAGATGCTACACTCCAAATATCTCTCCTCAATCACGCAAATGCTACACTCCAAGTATCTCTCCTCAATCAAGCACATGCTACACTCTAAGTATCTCTCCTTAATCAAGCACATGCTACACTCCAAGTATCTCTCCTCAATCAAGCAGATGCTACACTCCAAGTATCTCTCCTCAATCAAGCAGATGCTACACTCCAAGTATCTCTTCTCAATCAAGCAGATGCTACACTCCAAGTATCTCTTCTCAATCAAGCAGATGCTACACTCCAAGTATCTCTTCTCAATCAAGCAGATGCTACACTCCAAGTATCTCTTCTCAATCAAGCAGATGCTACACTCCAAGTATCTCTTCTCAATCAAGCAGATGCTACACTCCAAGTATCTCTTCTCAATCAAGCAGATGCTACACTCCAAGTATCTCTTCTCAATCAAGCAGATGCTACACTCCAAGTATCTCTTCTCAATCAAGCAGATGCTACACATCAAGTATCTCTTCTCAATCAAGCAGATGCTACACTCCAAATATCTCTCCTCAATCAAGCAGATGCTACACTCCAAGTATCTCTTCTCAATCAAGCAGATGCTACACTCCAAGTATCTCTTCTCAATCAAGCAGATGCTACACTCCAAGTATCTCTCCTCAATCAAGCAGATGCTACACTCCAAGTATCTCTCCTCTAACAAGCAGATGCTACACTCCAAGTATCTTTTCTCAATCAAGCAGATGCTACACTCCAAGTATCTCTCCTCAATCAAGCAGATGCTACACTTCAAGTATCTCTCCTCAATCAAGCAGATGCTACACTCCAAGTATCTCTCCTCAATCAGGCACATGCTACACTCCAAGTATCTCTCCTCAATCAAGCAGATGCTACACTCCAAGTATCTCTCCTCAATCAAGCAGATGCTACACTCCAAGTATCTCTCCTCAATCAAGCAGATGCTACACTCCAAGTATCTCTCCTCAATCAAGCAGATGCTACACTCCAAGTATCTCTCCTCAATCAAGCACATGCTACACTCCAAGTATCTCTTCTCAATCAAGCAGATGCTACACTCCAAGTATCTCTCCTCAATCAAGCAGATGCTACACTCCCAGTATCTCTCCTCAATCAAGCAGATGCTACACTCCAAGTATCTCTCCTCAATCAAGCAGATGCTACACTCCAAGTATCTCTCCTCAATCAAGCAGATGCTACACTCCAAGTATCTCTTCTCAATCAAGCAGATGCTACACTCCAAGTATCTCTCCTCAATCAAGCAGATGCTAAACTCCAAGTATCTCTCCTCAATCAAGCAGATGCTACACTCCAAGTATCTCTCCTCAATCAAGCAGATGCTACACTCCAAGTATCTCTCCTCAATCAAGCAGATGCTACACTCCAAGTATCTCTTCTCAATCAAGCAGATGCTACACTCCAAGCATCTCTCCTCAATCAAGCAGATGCTACACATCAAGTATTTCTGCTCACCCATGCATCAAGAAGGCAAGAGGTCTCACTATCACTGTTATTAGGTCAAGTAATCAATAACGTTGGTGCATAAGTGCGCAGACAGCCGATTTACAAGCATAATTTTGCGGAGGCACACATCTGTTGCCACATCCACTATCATGTTACATACTAAATACATCATGTGGGCATTAGGTTGGAGTATCCTTGTATGTGTAGCAAATAGATGCTCACATGCGGATCCAAATGTCGTGGATTCAGGTCCTGCATATCTGGACTTTTTAAAAGGAAAAAAAAACTTGGCTCCCTGGTTAACCCGGCCTCAAATAAATAACAGGTAAGAGTCCTCGGAAGTAAAGGCGGCCGGTGTGATGTTGACCACATCACCCACTGAGTGTTGGCTGATCTTTAAAAATATAGGTTGAGCCCTGTATAGCCAATATGCCTGAAGGCAGGGGAAAGGGCCCTATACTACCACTCTGATAATGTTCCAGGACCTCTTGGGTGCCGAAGGGAAGCAGGGACAGATCACTGTCTTAGATGGCAACTAATTAAGGATTTATTTTGTGATTTATTGAAATCGAGTGGATTAAACTATAAGACGCTGATACAGCGGCCTAGCTGTAAACTACACAACTTTAAGGATGAAAGATAAGAAGGCTGGGAGGTATTTAAATATCTCAGATCTGGAGGGCACATTACACAAACGAGGCCAAATCTCCACCAGTGCAGTGCTAAATCCAGGACAGGTCTTACTCTGCTTCTTTTCCCGAGCTTGGAGAGGGAAAGCGAAACTGCACCAGTCTCCTTTCAAAGCTACCTTTCAACTGGATCAGGACAAAAGCTCCTACACGAAACCCATTCCAAAAGTTGCAGATATTGTAAAGGTTTGGAGGACACTAATGCATTCAGTAGGCAACCATCAGTCCGTAGGGGCAACAGATCTGTGCCGTTGGTTTTGGCAACAGAATATGTAAATTCCAATGCAGCAGTGGCAGTCTCTGCCACATACTCTACACAAAAACCTTAAGACTGAGGCTGGTTTTTTCTCTCAACCATCTCCTCTCTATAGCGTGCCACGCTGGGTCTCTTGCAGACTGCAACAATCAATCTTTCACTGTCTGCCTGTTGATCTCTTCCAAGTGTCTATGTCAATGTTGGTAGCATTTGCTCTTATAAAGTAGCCTTGGCCTTCCTGTTTCTAGTTCATCGCACAGGGGGATCTTTTAGAATGTGACTGTCCTCCATGCATTTAGACTGAGAGATCAAACTAAGTCTCTCTGAGGATGTCCAACCAACCAATGTCCTTTAAGACCTATAATAAGCCTGCACACTTAAAATGGTGTGTGGTATCAGAATACACACATGCAAAAATCAGGAGACACACTGAACAACTTCTTGTTCTTCTTAGCATTTACTGGCTGCATACTCCAGTAGAAAGTTCTGGTCATTTGTCCGCTTTTGGACTTGTTGCAGAACTGTAGATATTTTTTTTTCATATCTGTTCTACAGATCTTACTTATTTATCTGCAGACTGTTGGTTCCTTACCACTCAGGCAGAAGCACTCCAACTGAAAGAAACTTCCCGTTAGTCACCTTTTACTACATGCTTGCTAATGTTTTCCCTCCATTTTTATTTAAGATGTCACAAAGAGTTCGACGCCCAGAGCGGTTATCACTCACAGGTTGAGAACAGCTTGTCAAGTTAGTTTTTTGTGTGTGTGTGGTTGTTTTGAATTTAAGATAATAATAATGCTGGAATGCATCTTCCTCCTTAAAACCTGGTCTGCAGGAGGTGAGCAGTTCAAGGATGTTTGCAGATCAGATAAAACAATCTACAAAATGTGGTGATGTCAGGTACTAACTCCTTCAGCTGAACTGGTGACCAGTTTTTACTGTCCACCGAGATTTCCAGGAGTGTTCCGTTCTCCTCCTCAATCAATCAAACAGCCTGCCCTTTACAGAACACCCCCTCTCTTCATGGCATGCCTTAAAGTCTCTCTTTCTGTGGCCTATTCTCCAGCTCTGTATGCTTTCCTAACCAACGCATCTTTAATGTCCTAATCTACATCAGCAGTGGTCGGCCTCTGACTCCTTTTACAGAAACTGCAGCCGCCATCACCGTTTTCTTCATACCACATCCAAAATACCCCACCTTTTGAAAGAGGATGTTTTCCTCCTACAGACCACATGAGTAGAATTGCAACACAGCATACAAACTGTGTAACACTGGCAAGTAATAACTAGGTCTGTAACGAATAGTAATTTTCACTATTCGGCCGAATACGAATAACGGGACCAGCTATTCGGCCGAATACGAATAGTGTATAAAATATTCATAATGTCGAATGTACGCTGAACTTTCACTTCACATAAAGTAGCACAGAATAGTCATCTTCTTCTTTAGCATTCTGAGCCCTTAAGGTTTACTGCTGCAGATATCACTCGTCTCCATTAATTTCTCTGACTGGCCTTTTCTTCACAATTTGTGACACCAGTTGTTTGCAGGTCTGTCTGGCATTATCTCTCGAACTTCTTTTTTGTCTGCCTCGTGGTCTATGCCCATTCCTCTTTCAGGTGTATACAGTTTTTACTTCTCTGTGATCTGACATACTTTCAATGTGCCCTAACCATTTTAGTCTGTTAGCTCTCATGATGCCAGTGATCAATGGCGGTTTAAAAAAGATTATGTGTTACATTGTTGCTTCTCACTCTCCATTCCCTGCTGTTAGCATCTTTGATGGGTCCAAAGATTTGTTGTAAGAATGATTTCGAAAACTTGTAATAAGGCCTCATCTCTTTCATTTGTGCTTCAAGTTTCAGAGCCATATAAAGAATTGTTCTTATCAACGTTTTATATATTTTGATCTTGGTGTTGCGAGACAGACACTTTGACTTTAGGAGATGTTGAAGGGCAGTGTATACTTTATTTCTAGATTGTATTCTAGATTTTATTTCTTTTCTCAGCATGTTGGAGCTGTTGAAGTTTGCACCCAAATTCTTATGTGTTTCCGTTAGTTTGATTTTCATATTATCAACTTGGATGTGGCCGAAGTTTATTATATTCTTTCCATGTCTAGTTAGTATTCGAACAGAATAGTAAACATTAAAAAATATTTAATGTTTTGCATCCTTCAGTCAGTTTGTGGTAACTAATAACTAGGAATAAAAGAATCCTTAGTATTAAAACAAGTAACTAAACTTGGAAATTGTCACTGACAGCTTAGTTAATGCAGGAAAACTGCATTAGCTTTCAACAAAACCAAACATTCCATGTTGTCGGCATTAAAGCCGTGTATGCAGAAGCGGGTGTAATGTAACTACTATTCGTAATCGGCACAACCGCAACTATTCTGCCGAATACCGAATAGTCAATAGGTCCACTATTCGGCCCCGAAGCGAATACGAAGCGAATATTCTGTACAGCCCTAGTAATAATGTACTTTTCCGTGCATAAGACTGTTTTCCCCAAAAAAAGTTAAAGTTTAAAATTTGGGGTCATGTACGAATTTGATTAAAATTTTGACTGATTAATTCTAGGCCCAAAAATATATAAATTTAGAGTGTCTTATCTTATGTATGGAAAAATATGATAAATGTTTCTTAAACAAAACCATGTTTTATAAATATCCTGAAATCTGCCACAGCTCACCCAACCTAAATATTAGGTGTCTGTTAACCGACACAAAAGATCTTTCTCCTAAAATGACTTCATTCTAGTTTTATGTTACCAATGCCCAGACTGGACACTTACAGCAAATATAGAAGAAGAAACTAACAACAAATTAATGTTATGTTTGAGATGTATGCTGATGGTGACAAGAGAAGAATCAACAGAGCAGGTGATTTGATCATGTAAACAAAACACTTAGCAGAACCTGTCTACCAAAGACAATGCAGTTTCACTACAATGGTTTCAAATCCAAAGGTTGTTTAATGATTAACCATGAAATTAACCAAAAGTGTAAGGTAAGCAACACCGTAGAGACATTATGCATGACAGTTATTCACACAGATCACACTTCCCTTCAATGCCATGAAGACAGAAGAAGACAGAGAAGAACAGGAGCAAGAGGAACCACAAGAAGATGAACAGACTATACTAAGAATGCTCATTCAGCAAATGTACAAACCTGTGTGTATGGTTCTACTTGGTACACCTAAAAAAGGATGGGCAAACAACAATGACTTATTCTTTAAAACAAACTCACAAAATAAATACATCAGATAATATAACATTAAAAAAAAACATGCATTCACATCATAAACAATCTACCAACATGAGGACATAAGCAGCAAACTAACATCAATGGTTGAATAAATTACTGGACAATATGACAGACCCGACAGGCTTTATAATTCTCACCAGTTATGTAAAACAGTGATCTTCACTTAACTACCTGTTAAATTTCAATTTTAAATACAAGCAAAGACAATCAGAAGGAAAAAAATGATGTTAATAGATGGTGCTGATGTTATTTAGAAAATGGAGACAGAGGTTTATGGACAGAAAAAAGAAATACAATAGACTTCAGTGAGCTCAACCAAATTTTTTCTTTCTTCTTCTTATCGCTCACCGGTTGTAAACTCCGATGAAAAGTTGTGGTTATTCTTCTTCTGCCAAACTTTAATCTTTTTCCAGAACTTGAGTTTTACAGATCTGTTTTATTTGTATGCAGACTGTTCTTCCTTCCCTCTCAAGCAGATGCACTCTTGACTTTGGAGGAAACATCCCTAACTAGCTACTTTCCCAACATGCTTGGTAGGGGGTTAGGGGGTCTATCTATTCTCTCTCTCTGACCCCTTCCCCACAGAGATGGTGCCCCAGAATCCACACAGGGAGTTCATATTATCATAATTTAACAAATGTACATCTAATATAATTAAATGTAATGATGGATTAAAACATCAAAAAGCAAAGCAAGCATAAAAAGCAATGAAGCATTTACTTGGGGAACAATGCTATGAGGGCATGGGTATTATGAAAAAAAAAAAGATTAATGTCTGCTAGGAGGATTGCATTTAAAATTACTCTTCTTGTTAGTAATTTATTCATCTCAACAAAGAAATCTTCCATAAAGTGACCCAAAGTGTAGTTATATATATATATATATATATATATATATATATATATATATATATATATATATATATATATATATATATATATATATATATATATGGATAAGGTATTGCCAATGCAAACTTCACATCAAAAGATTAACTTTAATTTTAACGAAGGGTGTAAGATTCATTTATACCATTTACAATAATCTAATCTTAAATTTAATCTATCCCAAATCAAACTAATTTTTTTTTTTAAACCACTTACAAAAAGTTAGTAAACAGCACAGGTCCCTTTTCCACGCTAGACCTATATTTGTATGGACCAATCCGCATAAGATGGGTGATGTGGTCAGCATCACGCCGGCTGCCGTTACTTCCTGGGACTGCAGCTGGTACCCACTCAAGGCTGGGTCAACCTGGGAGTCAAGGTCATTTTTGAAAACTTACAAAAAGAACCATCATCATCTACCCTGTGAGATGATGCCGAGTCGTCTACACCCATCGATGGGTCCTTTCTATTCTGGAGAAATTATACTGATGATAGTTCTACCACCTCTCATCCTCTGAGACCATCACTTCTGTCAGTCTGTCCCTGCCTCTTCTGCTGCTGCTGACGTTTCCGGTCATCACAATATTTGTCAAAGCCTCTCTTTCTCCTTGTAAGACTACATAATCCCTGTATCAGATCTTACTGTTAGGTCCAATGTTCTTAACCCTAATTATATTTCTATATCATTCGGGTTTGTGTTCATTGTGCAGTCAACACCATACATTAGTTTCCCATTTCATCTTCTTTTTATTTTGTCGTCTCACTAATACCAGGTTGTAGCCTAGTGTTGTGGTTCTGTCATCTCACTGATACCAGGTTGTAGCCTAGTGTTGTGGTTCTGTCATCTCACTGATACCAGGTTGTAGCCCAGAGCCGAAGTTTTCTGTATGTCTTGCACTTCTCAGATGGCTTGGGTGATGGATTTGTTCATCTTTTTGCAGATTTCTGCTACATTTTTTATCCATTCCATCTCTTTCTTGGTCTTCCTCTCGCCTTCCTCCCAGATGTTCTACTGTAAAAAGTCTCATATGCAGTTTTTCCATTTAACAATGCATTTATAAATTATGTTTTTTTTTAAATTAATCAGCATATAGTTGATTTGATAAAATATTTCTTACTAGGTCTTGCCCATATGTAATTATCTCTTATGTTTGTTAAACTAGATGTTCCTGATAAATGAATCATTCATTTCTCCTATACTCCAGGTTTTCTCTTAAGCGTATTCCTAAAGTTACTAACCATATGTTCTTTGTATTTTGACTTCTTGTGATTTGTTTTAAGATATTACCATGTCTAATTCATTGTGAAAGCTTTTAATCTATTCCTCACTAGTTGTCTAATTAACTGTGAAAGCTTTTTATCTATTCCTCGCAAGTTGTAGTCTAATTCATTATGAAAGCTTTTAATCTATTTTTTAATAGTAGTTGTCTAATTAACTGTGAAAACTTTTTTTTTTCTTATTGACTACTGCTTGCTGTTCGTACCTGTACTTTTATCATATTTATATGTGTTGTTCGTCTTTGATTTTCATCATAACTGACTGATCTAAACTACTCAAAATATACCACTAACTGACTTAGCTTAGCCTCACCAAACAGCAATCTAACTCCTTTTTCATGCTTACCACTTCCTGAATACATCATTGTGCATTTGTCTGATATTATTTTATCCGACCGTCTTTAACTCATCTCTCTTATTCCAGGTTATTAAAAATAAGGGAGCCATCATGGTGTAGCGGCTAGACACCTGCCTGTGGATCAGAAGGGTTGTGGGTACAGGCCCTGATGGGAGCCGGACTTTTTTTTTTCCAGAAATGACCTTATTAAAATGAAGAGGGATTGGTTTGAGTGTCTTCTTGTACTCAAACCAATCCCTCTTCATTTTAATAGCCCTGACCACAGCGGTAAAGATGACATATCTGTCACAGCATTAAAATCTTGCTCTGGCGATCATACTACCCGCCTCGCTTTGGAAAACCGCCTTATCCACAGCCTTGGCGTTCTTAGTCCAAGAGGTATCAATATCCAACATACCTTCATCTAAATAGTTCTAATCTTATCAATAAACTTATTCTGGTGAAGAGCTGAACCTACTCTAATGAATGCATATAAACTTATTCTAGTGGAGAGCTGAACCTACTCTAATGAATGCAGTTATATAAACTTATTCTAGTGAAGAGTTGAACCTAATCTAATTAATGCAGTTATATAAACTTATTCTAGTGGAGAGCTGAACCTACTCTAATGAATGCAGTTATATAAACTTATTCTGGTGGAGAGCTGAACCTACTCTAATGAATGCAGTTATATAAACTTATTCTGGTGAAGAGCTGAACCTACTCTAATTAATGCAGTTATATAAACTTATTCTGGTACAGATTTGAACCTACTCTAATGAATGCAATTATATAAAATTATTCTGGTGGAGAGTTGAGCACCAGGCGTTTGACATGCACAACTATGTGATGCCATCCTCTACCGCTTCTCTCTTGTTCCCCTTTACCAAGCAAACATACAAAATATAAATTATTACTAAAATATAAAGTGATAAAATATTACTTTCATTAATAATAACTATAATTTTGATTAACTTTAACATTTTAATAATAATTTAGTTTAAAAAAATACAATATCAGTAAGTACTTATACTTTTCAACAGAAACTATTTCAAATCACAACTTTATTTTGACTTCAGGAAGCAAAACAATTTAATTTTAATGTTTATGTAACTTTCAGATAAAAACTTAGTGCTACTGACATATGAAACAGGGTCACATTAACAGCCTACTACTGTCTGACAAATACGCAACACCAACTGTGGACATGTATTATAGGCTTGTGCACATCAAGAACACAGGTTTCTCCTAAACACCAAATCTTACAAGACTAACGAGTGCTGGGAAATTCTGCAGAACCAGCTCAGCGATACGCTCATAGTCAGGAGCTGTCCACCAGAGTTTAAGGGCCAGGAAAAACTGGGTTGTCTCACGGATGACCTTTGGCCGCGCAGACATTGTGTTGCCCGACTCCCTAGCACGAATGAGGCTGTCGGAGTAAGGAGGGGTCGGGAGAGGGTCCGGGAGAGCAGTGGAGCGCCACATTGCCATAGCAGACAGACGGTCAGTGCTGGACTGGGCAGTGGTCATTTCCTGAAATGGATGAGCCTCCATGTCATCCTCTTCCACAGTCCAGTTTGTGTGACAAGTTGTTTTCTTTTTAATTTAGCATGTTTATATAAATTCACATTTACTTTAATTAATTCTGATCACAGTATATTTTTGTAACTTAATATTTTCTTTCAGATGTATTTTTTAAAAAGTGTATATGTTATAAATATATTTTAACTGAATATTTTCTTAAACATGTATGAAAATATTTTTTAAAAACATATTTTACTAGCAAATTTTAGCAATAACGACCTTCAGTCAAAAATGGTTAAGATAATACCATCATGGGACAAAAGAAGCCGAAGAACAAAGAATGATTAAAAATAATACAATTTTTGTTTATATATATAAAGGGACCCGCTAGGAATTTTACTCATATAAAAAAAACATGGCACTCGTGTTTTTTTTTTTTTTTACAGAAGGGAAAGCTGAAGGCAGGCAGGCAAGCAAGCAAAGAGGTAGTCAACAGCACAAGAGGGCAGCAGCTAAGTGATGGGCAGACAGCAGTCAGGATAATGAGAGAGAAGAGAATGTAAGAGATCCACTGCAACCAACCATTACTCTCAGCAAAGAAAAATCACTGATCATCACATAAACTCAAAAGTACCCCCCCCCCCCCCCTCCCAAATGATATCCATGCCTTTATCAAGCAAACAGTGCTAGCCCCAAATTTTTGCAGAGCTGTCAGCACTCAGTGGCTGCTGTGGTTAATACTATGTATTGTAATATCTCAGCAAGGAGCAAGTTATTTTACCGATCTAGATTTATATGTTATGAAATATTATGGTGAGGGAGTACATTAATTAAATAGAGTGAAATTCACATACGCTGTTTTTACAAAAAAATATGTATCAGGCGACTCATGACAACCTATCTAATGAGACGCACAATTTTTTAAAAAAACTTTCTCCTCCTCCCTCCCCCTTCCCTTCCAAAGAATTCCTAAATGAGATGTTAGTAGTAGGGCATGGGAAAAGGACTATCAGAGAACTGATTACAGACAGACCAGTTCTGGGATGTGAGGAGGAAAACATTGGTAAATACAAAATTATATTTTATATATTTTTCAATGTAAAACTATATCTAATCTACTTTTAAATGAAAACTTTTTTTGTATGTCAAACTATTTCTCTATGTACAACCATTTATGCTAAATAAACCATCTAGCTAGCTGCTTCTTAATGTACACATAGTGGTATTTAAATACATATTGTTTTTGTTTTTTGTAAATCTCTATAATTAAAGTATATCAACATCTTTTTGCCTTTTTCATGCAACCAGTGACCTAACAATAAATCAATTAGCGAGAACCAAAGCTTACTAAAATTGTCTTTAAATTACTTATTAGTGAAGTAAAGAAATCGTTTGCATAGGCTGCAAAAGAGGTTAATATGTTGACTGCCATTTGTGAAACAAACTAATAATCGAATTCAGGCAAGCAAACAAATAATGATAATAATTTGTGCCAGTTTTGAGAAGCAAAATGCAATAAACAAATTTAGAAATCTTTCAAAGAATTAACTAACAGGTAACCATGAGTAACTGCAGGCTACAAATTAAATTTACTGAAAATTTCGACAAGATCACACCATATTATGCTGTGTTTTCTTTACAGAAACATTTCATTTCAGTGTATTTTAAACTCTCTATGTAGCTTGTTCTTTTTAAATTAAAAACATTTTTTTAATTCATTTTTTTTTATCACATGTGTACATGCTGTAAAATTTATTTTTTTTCCTTTTTCTAAAATTTACAATATCATTCCCCCCCCCCCCCCCCCATGGTAAATTTCTTCCTTTAGCTCACAACAAGTTGTGTGATGTACAGAAAGTACTAAAGTTAATGACAGAAAAACAAATTTCTGTATCTGGAGAAAAAGGAGAAAAAATGGGGGGGGGGGGGCAAAAGATCATTTCCTCAAAACGATAACACAGCATAATTGGAAGTTGCACTGCTTCAAAAAACAAAGTATTTTGAAAAAAAAATATTGATGTTAATACAAAAATGAAACAAGGAGAATTCATCAGGTGCTTACCTCTGAGACGCCATAATCTAAGCCTGAACTTCCAGCTGCAACAGTCTGAGCCATTTGCTCTGAGTACATCTAGCGGCGGGAAAATACATGACATAAGCAACATACAAGAGATAAACAACAGATAAGAGATGAGCAACAGATAGAAAGAGGAGTTTCCTCTTCTTCTAATTCACTGGCTGTAAAAGTTCTGGTTGTTCGTCCACTTCTTATCTGAGTTTTACATATGCACTTCACAGATCTGACTTATTTGTATGCAAACTGCAGGTTCCTTGCCTCTCTTTTCCCTCAAAATATTAGAACCTCAGAACTACACAGGAAAACAGGTGAGCAACAGACAAGAGATAAACAGTAGACAAAATGTGAGCAATACATGAGAGGTGAGCAGTAGACAAGAGATTAAAAACAGACAAGAGATAAACAACAGACAAGAGATGACCAATAGGCAGCAAGTGATAAACAACCGACAAGAGATAAACAGACAAGAAGTGAGCAATAGGTTGGTGATAAATAACTGACAAGGATAAACAACAGACAAAAGGTGAGCAACAGGCAAGCAATAGATAAGTGTTGAAAATATATAAAACCAAAAAAAAAGTATATCCAGATAAGTGTTAAGCAACAAATACAGTTACAAAATATCATGTTTTATTTAATTTAATTTTTTTTATTCTAGACTTTACTTAAATTCTCCTGATATCTGATTTTATTCTTAATCTGACTCTCTTAATATCAGATTTTTAACATTCGAAATGACAAATCTTTCTTTAACCAATTTCATTTCTGTAATTAATTTTTTTCAATGCCTGATTTTACTTGTAATCTACTAACACCTGATGTTATTCATACACTTTTGCGCTTGATTTCACCTCTTTAACTTTTCTGACACCTAATTTTTCTTGAACTCTCTCAACCTTGATTTCATTTAAATTCCTCCAACATCTGATTTTTCTTGAACTCTCTCAACCTTGATTTCACTTAAATTCCTCCAACATCTGATTTTTCTTGAACTCTCAACCTTGATTTCACTTAAATTCCTCCAACATCTGATTTTTCTTGAACTCTCTCGATGCCTGATTCTGTACAAATTAATGAACTTACCTGCCAGGCTGCAGTAGCATCCCTAGAAGCAGTCATTGCATCCTTGTCATACACAAAATGTATAGGTGTGTCATCCTCTTCGTCGTCAGCAGTCTCTCCACGAGATTTTTGTTGGCTGCTGTAGGCATCCCTGCGTGCATCATCATCCTCTACTGTTTCCTGTTTCTGAATGGCTACTCCTTGGCTGTGTGATCCCGGCTCCGCTATTCTTATCTTATGATGATTGTGAGGCCCCTGGCCGCTCACTGAAACAAAAGCAAGGTATGTAATAAATGTGTCAAGTATTAAGAAGATCAAGATAAGATGGGTTCAAAGACAATGGTTGATGTCAGTGAGAAAGTTTTTGTGCCAGGGCACACTTGGGTAAATGAGCAGACTGGCTTTATGGCAGCACCACAGTAGGCACAGGACAAGCAATGGAGTGGGCCGATTCTCTCGAGGTTGCATGAGTAAATGATTCACGAGACGATGCCGTGTCCACAAAATTCAAAATACCACAAAAACTTCATGTCAAAACAGGCATTGCCCAACAGAAACATTATATAGGCAGCCAAAGAAGAATAGTAAACCCACACAAAACTGGTTTTATAGGTCGCCACATGCTGAGGGACATATTGAAAATTGGATCAGAGATCTTATGGACTTGCCCAATGTGCTTTGAAGATAATTTGTCAATTACCTAACAAAATTATGAAGATAATTTGTCAATTAACCAACTAAATTATGAAGATAATTTGTCAATTAACCAACTAAATTATGAAGATAATTTGTCAATTAACTAACTAAATTTTGAAGATATTTTGTCAATTAACTAACTAAATTATGAAGATAATTTGTCAATTAACTAACTAAATTATGAAGATAATTTGTCAATTAACTAACTAAATTATGAAGATAATTTGTCAATTAACTAACTAAATTATGAAGATAATTTGTCAATTAACTAACTAAATTATGAAGATAATTTGTCAATTAACTAACTAAACTATGAAGATAATTTGTCAATTAACTAACTGAACTATGAAGATAATTTGTCAATTAACTAACTAAACTATGAAGATAATTTGTCAATTAACTAACTAAATTATGAAGATAATTTGTCAATTAACTAACTAAACTATGAAGATAATTTGTCAATTAACTAACTAAACTATGAAGATAATTTGTCAATTAACTAACTAAACTATGAAGATAATTTGTCAATTAACTAACTAAATTAATTGTGTCAGCTTTAAAATTTCACAAGTTGGTTCTGTGCAAACAAACAAAAGAGCATGTAGAAATTAGAAACTGCAATGGTGATCATGAGGCTTATCTTGAATTTCTAGTGATGAGATGTGGTGTAACTGAGACATTATGATTTGTATATTTTAGTGGAAATGGTTCATTGCCTACATTATCATATACTCATTCATCAAGTGGAAGACAGAGAAAGATGGTGGGTTTTGTATGTCAGTGCTTCCATCGAAACACCACGACCCTAATGGGCCAAGGGCTATCTTGTGTTATGTTTCATTATATGTTGACAGATCTTTGTAGTAATGCATCTGATGAGATTCAAAGAAATATGCCAGTCAACAAAGATGTGTCTACGTTAGTTGAACAATTCTATGTTCAAATCCATAGCAAGATTTTTTAAAATTTATTTATGTAGGTACCAGCTCCACGTAGCATACAAAGTGCACCAAAAAAATGATTTCATGTCATACGAGGCAACTAATTAGGAGTTTGCTAATTTCAGATATGTTGGGCCAAAGGCAGAGATATCACAACCTAGCTGTAAACCATAACAAAACATGCCAAACACCCTTCAAACTGGGAACGAAGAATACACATGGCCATGGGTTAAATCAAATCCCCACCAAGCGCAACATTTTTCTGGAGGGAAAAGGGGGAGGGGAAGGGGGGGGGGGGTTTAAACCTGACAAATTGGTTTCGGCTAAAAATAGGTACCTGGAGATGTTCTAGGAAGTGGAGATTACAGAGGAGACTCATTATCCATCGCATGCTAAATGCTGATTGTGCTATAAAAAGAGGAGGATAGCAGCTTTTATGCATACTCCCTGAAAAAAGTTGCTTTACTTCAGCTTGGATAAGAATAGGCTTAGCCAGGCAAGCTGCACCACACACTACTACATGTATAGTGCTGGCTTCTCACATTCTACTGCCTAGGCCTGACAGCTACAAAAATATGGAAGTAAGACACAGGGTCGTCTTAAAAGCTTTTATGGGGCCCCGAGCAAATCAGTGTGCCGGGGCCCCCATGACAACCACTCACAGGAATTAATTGTACATGGTTGATAACATTAAATATATTTTTATGTTACTGGCACTTCAGCAAAAGTGGTACTGAAACATAAACATAGATTTATTGACGCAGTATAGAATTATTTTGAACCTCCTAAATTATAACAAGCATTTGTTGCTCTTATTTTTACAGAGTTGCTTTATTATTAGCTTGAAATCAGCGGCCTTTAAGGTGTCGTTTTCCATGTAGGTGAGTAAAAGCCAGTTCTAATGATGCTGCTCCATTGTGCCATGAAGCTCAACCAGATAAAGAACAATCCCCTGAACAGTCAATTACCACAACATATATGAACATTCTGAGGGCTATTTCAACATTTGAGAAAACACATTTTTTAAATGTCCCGTCTCCCAGTTTTTTTTTTCTTTTACTAACAGCCATGCTGTGCTTGAGATTCTTACATAGACTGACAGGAGAAATATTATTTTGGTTCTATGTTTCACAGAATTAATTTAAACATCAAATATATTTTTATTTATGGCAAGTTACTTTGCATTCACAGATTAGCTTGAGGCCCTATGTCATGGGGCCTCCGGCAAGTGCCAAGCAGTTAACCCTACCAAACTGATCTACCCATTTTTTTATAATTTCCCAAACCTGCCGCTATACCGATGTAACTAATTTTCAGTACTTTGCCAAGTATGCGGGAAAAAATGCTTCACAAACTCAAAATAGCCAACCAATCATGGTCAAACCTCATGGTTAGCCACTGAAAATGTCTGCCCCCATGTGTTTGAATTGACTTTATGTGGTTAAACGTGAAAAAAACTTTGAAAATTAAAAATGAAACAAGTGGCTGATGAACCAAGCACTTCAACAGGAAAGTGAAGTAGGTCTAGGTTTTTCAGTGCAACAGGTGATGGGGGAGATCTAAGTGGTGATGAAGGTTTGTCAAGGAATTTTGTATCATCAAATATGATCTGCATTTCATTGAGGATAGAAAAGGCCCAGTAAACATCCCTAGATCTATCACAGAGGAGAGTGAACTGACTGACTTTATATCCTTGTTTTTGGATGATACTTTCTGGCAAAATCTGACAGGGAAAACAAACCTCCAACCTCCAAACCAACTGCATATAGCAAAGCCACCCACAAAAGGAACCCTGCCCTCAACGGATGACCCAAGGCAATCATTTTCCACAGATTTTCCCCTGCAATATCGTCTAACCATATCTGTGTTGTGTACATGGAAAAGGACTCCAGGTACAGCAAGCAAAATCCTGGAGTCTTACAAAGACAATCCTAGCCAGAAGGTGAAGAGCAGCATCAGTTGCTCACTTTGCAAGAAGTACCTTTGTATGAAACAAGGCTCATCCTGCTGTGTGGATTGGCACACAAAGGTGGAATACTGGCGCTAGATGAAAGGGAGACTTATTTTCTATACTGTCTCCAGGTTCCGTCTTATTCTCACCACTTGTTTGCATGTAATCTATACCACATTGGTTTTTTCTATTTAATGCTCAGGAGCCCAGGTATAGACAACAGTTAGATTCAGGGCCTCAAGTCTGGTAGGGTTAAGACAGCCCTGGATAGATGCAGCAGACAGATATTCCTGGAGAAGAAATGTGTGAAAGGGAACTGGTGCTCTTTCAGCACAATCTGACTCAGGGACAAGAGGCACAAGTATGAAATGAAATCATCTCCTGGGGGACATGCCTTATCTTACATAAACTATGACAGAGATTGACCCTCTCAGTGGACTGTTTGGTCACCAGCATTGCTGCCAGGCGCCTGCCCAGCAGCACAACTCAACAGTCCTGCAGGACTAAAAGGAGGCCTACTAGAGAGATTATGTATCTATGTTCCATAGGGAAATTATATTTTTAAAAATAAGCTATTGCATAAACTTACTTTCTCGGTTCCTACTTGCTGTGTTCTGACTCTCAATGATGCTGGCGGCTGTCAGCAGCTCATTACAGAAGTCTGAAGGGTTGTTTGTGCTGTTGGTTGTCACCGACCCGCCGTTGCTGTTTGAAGGAGATGATGGACTGTAGAACTGCCGACCTCCCCCCTCCTGACTTCCCGAGGTGGCAGTCTCGGATCGCTGATCCATGCTGTTGGGCGTGAAACCAGAGCCCTCTTTCTTGCGCTGTGACACTTCTCTGCGACGGAAATTGCGAGCATACATTGACAGGTCTGTTCTGATCCTCTTCTGAAATAACAAAACATTAAAGCCAATCCTGGAACACACACATAGATCATTGTCAAAAGGACTACACATTTCAGATTACTGCCGGAAGTGATCATATATTTCACTGATTACTGTCATAAGTATCTACACTTCTCACAGTCTACTGTCAAAAGTCTTGGGGCACCAGCACACTGGTTTGCCCAGAAGCCCATAATGGCTCTGATTACTGCCAGGTGTTCAAGCTTGCCTCACACATCTTTCTCTGCCTTTCTAGTCTAGAATGAACTCAGACAAAATCTACCTCTTCCTCTGGTATGCCTGGAAATTCCATTTGTCTTTCTTTCTATCTTCTTCACATCATGAACTGTCTGTTAAATCAAGCAGAAAGTTCTGGTTTTTATCTACTTCTGGACTTTTAGTCTTGTTCCAGATCTTGTATTTTGCATGCAAACCTGTTTTACAGATCTGCTTATTTGTATGGAGACTGTTGGTTCCTTACCTCTCAGGCACAGATGCACTCAGAATTGCAATAACAATCCCTTTTTAGCTGCCTTCTGTGACACACTTGAAAGGGGTGCAGAAGTTCTTCTTCCCCCCACCCCCTCTCTCTCTCACCCAAATGGGGTTCTGGGACCCACATTGAGATTTTTCCTTTATCAATACATCAGTCACCCTGTTCAGTCTTTCCACAGTATTCTAAAATAGATAAGGGAGCATCATCATTAGGCAAATTAGAACCGCCTGAGAAAAATGCATCATTAACATGCAAAACAACTACAAATGGTCTATCAGAATAATTAATGCAGAACTTTGGGATAGACCAAAACAAATTCCAGTGAATCAAGAACATCAGGAAAAGTTTTTGTCATGGGACAGGACACGTATTAAGAAAATCTGATAAAAATATAACTAGAATGTCATTGCAGTGGAAGCAATAGTCAAAGGAAGAAATGCCTAATAAACATGGAGAACTGAATTAGAGTAAGGTGAACAAGATGGGGAGAACATGGAGTAACCTACACAAGAAAGCAAAAGATGGAACAAGCGTGACTAAGGTCTATGCTCCATCTGAGGACAAGAGCAGAGGACGAAGGCAATATTCATTTTAACGAAGGCAACTTACATTGGCTGGAACACCTGGTGTGTCACTATTGTCTTTGAATTCTGGGAAAAGTTCAATAACTAAATTTGATATCCGGTCATAATCATGGCTGCTCCAGTAATGCTTGAACTGTAGAAAAAACTGAACCGTCTCCCGTAAAACCGTTGGCCGGTCAAAAGCCACAGTTCCCAGTTGCTTGGCTCTTATAACCTGGAATGTGGCAAAGAAGCACTGAATTATTTCTAAACATTTTCTGACTTTTTAAGAACTCTGACATTATGTACTGAGTGTTTCTCCAATTGCAATTAAAATCTGTTTTAAGATAGCTGAATCGGATTCACAAGAAGATATCCTGAAATACTGTAAACTAACAGTGCAGCCAGTTGTAAATATTTCTTTAAAATCTGTGGTATTCAAAGAATTAAAATGGGATGCATTCAAAAGGAGTGAAGAAATCAGAGAAACATCTGGGCAAGCACTAGTATCTATCAGCAGTTATAAGACAGAAGATGGTGCAATATTGGACAAGAGATTAACACAGAACCACCCAACAGGCAGTGAAATGGAAAATAAAGGGAGTGAAGAAGCAAGGATGTCCAACAGAAACTCTCAGGCAAATGCTGATGACAGAAGCCAAAGGTGCTAGACTGGATTTTATCCCTGATATCAAAGTGATTGCACAGGATAGAATGGATTGACTGTGAGCCATATGTGACATACTGGCACAACGGGACAGTGAATTAATGAATTCAAAGAATTGCTATGTAACATTTCAGTTCTTCTTCTGTGTTCACCTTTATAAGTGGTGTTGGCATGCTGCATTGAGGTTTACAAAACGACTGTGATTTTCTTCTTCAGTAATTGTGAAATGGTTCACTGTTCAGTTTCATATGCTGCCACAGAAAATGATGCATATTTTCACTATTTCATTTTTTTTAAAGCTGGTTTTGTGCAAGTAGAACAATTCAAGCAATCACTATATACCCCTGTATGCCCGTCAGCTGGACAACAGCTTGACACCAAACCTATGATTCCCTATTGGGTCTTAACCATCCACCTGATGCAATAGCAGAAAGAAAAGCAGAATAAAAGACAGATACAGAAATACCTTAACCAAAATTAATCACCTTATCTGAGTACTGAGGCACAGGCAGAGGATCTGGGAGTTCTTCTGAAGCAGCCATACTTAGTCTGAGTCCAGCAGGAGTTACTGGCTTGCGAGAGCTCTTTGATTTAGAAGATGAGTGTGTTGTGTCTGTTGGTAGATGGCTCCCTGTTGAGGTCTGGTAATGACTGCTGAGATGAACTGAATCTGGGAAAAAAAACAGCATTTAGACATCTTAAGAATACATTACCATCAATTCTGGTTGAAGACTGTTCGTATTAGTACATCTGACAGCTGCCTTATGCCTTTTCTTTGCATGTGCGAGCTTCAAGATTCTGCAGGGACTGACAGGTTTTTCAATAGTTTTTCAAAGAGTACAATGAAGGACATTTTATGTGATTTCCAGTAGCACGGAAATGAAGCAGTTATGGGGTGAGCCACTCATACTGAAGCTGGAACCTCAACTAATGACCACCTATGTTTTTTCTGGGGTCACTGAGTAAAGTAATTAAGGAAAATAATTGTAACCTACCATGTCATATCATAAGAAATTGGTGTAAGACAGGCTACAAACAGAGCCTTTACATCTGTCTTAGAATAAAATTGCTCACCACCTAGGGGAGTAACAGCAGCAGCCAGTCTATCAGCCTGGTCATTGTTCTGCACACCAGCCTGACCTAGACACAAAGGTTATGCTTTGCACTTGACCTGAGTGTCATCAAGGAATGCAAGCTACTCTACAATTAACACAAGAGAGTTTCTATTTTCTAAAGCATGCTCTACATGTCAGTTATATTTACACTGGGCTGTACTACTAACTCTCCAGCCATCAGAAAGATGCTGTAACTGCCTCCACCTCCATTCTCATGCTGGATGTTGAGACATTACATACAAGGCTATCTGTGGGGGTTATGTTTTTGTGTTTGTTTTAAACAAAGTTCTGATCAACAAGAATAAACCGAAGATGTTGACCATAAAGTACAAATATTGCAATTGTACCATAAACGAATGTTACGAATACTTTGGGTGCCAGAGTAACTAACAACTGCTTGAAAGAAGCTAATGAAAGTAGATTTCCATTTACAACAATAACAGAGAGACAAACACTGTTCTTTGGCCACATAATGAGTAGAGAGACATTGGAGAACATCGTGACAACTGGAAAGATCAGTGGGAAAAGGGGTAGAGGCAGACCAAGAGAGATGATGCTGGATGGGCTGAAATGATGCATGGAGGGATATCATCAACAGAGCTGTTCCAGGCAACCAGGGGTCATGATTTGTGGAGACGCATGAGCACCTACTCCGGTTGGCAGGGCCCATAATGATGATGACTGTAAACAAGCATAAAACAATTATGGCCACATTCAAAATGATTGGACATAAGAAGAAGAGGAATCCTTCCTTACCATTGGTGTCCCCGGATGTAGCAGTCAAAGGTGTCCCATAGACATCAGTGCTCGACTGGCGGGAGGTATAAGCTATTGGAGGTGACTTTGCAGGACCTAAAAAGTGAGCAACTGATGGCAGTACCGTTGTTGGTGAACTACTGATTTTTCCGCGAGATGCTATATGATGTATGCCAGGGAGCTGAAATAAAATGAACACAGGAGATCATTACTACAGCTTTTACAAATTGAGCGATACATTTTTTTTATGTTGTTGCTGAGTGTATTTACCACCCTTTATGGCAGTGTGTGCATGTGTGGGAGGGGGACCTGAGCATTTAGGAACGCACACATAGTGTAGGCCAGGATTTTTTTTTTGCCACCTGCCAGAAAAAATACACCAAATTACTGAAGATTCGAACCTAGGTTTCCCAAATGAGAGTCTAGATTACTTAACAGTCCAGACAGCCAAGCCTCACTTTCTTCAACAAGCCTATACACAGCTTTAACTTTGTCCTCTTGAAAAACATTCATAACCCGGACTTCATAATCATCATCTACCGAGCCAGTAAGCGTAGGTCAGGGCTGTTCAACTGACAGTGCACAGGACAAATGTGGCCCACTGAAGCTTAGCAAATGACCAGCGGATCACTGCAAGTTGTATTCCATTAACTAAAATTCCAGGCTGGGGTTTGGGCCTCTGGTCCACAACGATAACTAATTTCAAAATGTTGCCCCTTGAGTAAACAATCTCAGTGTCCAGGTTTTATTTCTTCATTTTTTGTGTGTGTGGATCTATTACATAACATTTGTAATTGTGGATTTATATATTTTTTTTCACTTTGCTTCATTCAATAAAAATTACACATCATTGGCAGGGAAGTTTAAAACTGTTGCTCTGTTCGCTGGTGTTGTGCCATTGATTTCAAATGCTTTTAATCGTTGCTTTAAACGAAAAGTCGTGTCTCATCATGACCTCTACTAGTCAAACTCACTTGTTGTCATATACTTAGCCAATGTACAGATGTTATATTTTCAACCTCTTCATCTTTGATTGTAAACTCTGGTTGACATGTAGTTTTATCTGTGGATTTCATCTAAACACCGTAAAATAAAAGAATTAGGGCAAGTGGGATGGTAATGAATTTAAGGACATAAGGATGTTCTGAAAATGTTCCTGTGTATTTTAGGCATTTCCTTGTGTTTTTTTCTGGCATGAAATCAGGCGGTTAAGTTGCGTGCCAGGAGCTCAGAAAGAGAGTAACCCGAGGTCTAGGAGGTAAAAGTTCAAAGCATCAGAGATACTGAAAAATAGTCAAATTTTAACAGAGTACAACAAATGAAAGTTTTATTTTTTTCTGTAGCCCTTTATCTGCCAATGAAGAATAGACTCTCAGCTAAATCAATAAGTCGCCCTAATTTTTTTAATCTCCTTTTTATTGTATGACTTATAAGTTAGGAAGAGACAACATATAGCACTTGGACACTCCCATAAACACCCCATCCCCAGCAGCAAGTGCAGAATTCCAATTCCAGTGGTACCAGTAACAGTCGGACTGTATGTCCATCTCATCACTTCCCTGAAAGTTGAGCATCGGCCAGATCCCATGGTCACTCCTTTCTGGACCATTCTCTGAAGACTGTGATGACCTACTTGTGCTTCTGCACTGTTACTTGCTCCCAAAGTACCCTTTAGACATCTAGTTTGCCATGCATCTATTTACCACTAAGTAGTGCCTGTTCATTTCCCAACACACCAGTATTTCTAGAGCAAACATCCAAAGGCTGCTCACTACTTTTTTCAATAAGGAAAGTTTACTAAGCAATTGTGCTGAAGACTATAATAGGAACGACTACATACTGCCACCTCCTTCTCCACCCCCCAACCACAAATTTTCAAACTCATTTGGCATAAAATGCAATGAGTCCACGCCAACTTACAGTTGCCGTGTGCGAAGCCGAACTTGATGGTGCTAACAACGAACTGATAACTGGTAATCTGGCGCTGGCGGACATGCTTTTCTCGTGTTTGATCTTTTCTGCAGAGAGGAGGGGGAAATCTGAATCACGAATGAGGGAAGAAGAAAAAACAAAACAGATTCAGAATAATTCCATCTCAATAATAATAGAGGGAATTACCAACAATACATCTAACGTTAATGCAGTTTTATAAATATAATCAAACTCCATCATGATGCACATTTAAAAAAATGAAAATATCATGTTAAAAACGTTATCCTTTCAAAACTAATTCTCCTGTAGACACTGTATTGTTTCCGATCATCCTAACATAAAATAAAAGTATGCAAATGTGAAAATTTTTCTTTAATTAGAAAACGATCACATGAAAAAACTTACATATACGAGTTTTTATTAATACCAGCATGACATTTATATTTTATCCTGAACTACATTTTTTTCAAGAATCTCTACATTATGCCAGCTCTATATGTTTCTGTGGCTTGTGTGCTTTCCTTGCAGATATAAACCCACAACTACAGCAGACACTGCTTTTCAGTGTAACTACCATCCAACCGCCACATTACTCATAACTCTAAAGATCATCTCCCTGGTTCTTACATTCTGTTTTGGAATACTGATATCCTCACACATGCTTTTCATTAGCATTGTTTCTGACGTAGACTTTTATTTAATGGGGGGGGGGGGGGTGCTATCCCTTCAGTAAATTTTTAGACTTCCGTTAATTATTTTTTGAAACTGTTCTGTGATATCAAAGATACGACTAGCATTTGTGTTAAAGAAACATGGCTGTAAAAGATATCATCATCATTGTTCTGATGTGCCACTACATATCACATAGGGCTCAGAGTCTATCTCTCCATAAAGTTGTGTCTTGTGCAATCTGTTCAATATCATGGATAGAATCCAGTCCGGCACCTTTGGCCTCTCAGTGTTTGTTTTAGGGTTTCTTTTGGGTGTTCTCACTTCTTTAGACAATTTATTTGTCATTTTAGTGCCTGGTTGTGATTCTCTCCTTGTTTCTTCTCAGGGAAAAGAAAAGGGCATGGAAGCAATATTTGGCAGCCAGGAACACAGCTGAAGAAATAGAAAAATATAAACAATATGTGGCACTCAGAACAGAGACCAAAAATATTGTGCTGAAAGCAAAACAGAAATCATGGGAAGAGTTTGGAGAAAAGTTGGAAAAGAATGCAAGAGAAAACCAAAAACTGTTCTACAAGACCCTTAAGAACATGAGGAAGGAGAAAGAGTGCCCACTTAAATTCATAAAAGACAAGAAAGGGGCTCTGCTTACTTCTACAAATGATATCATGGGCAGATGGAAAGAATACTTCTCAGAGCTCCTCGGCGTTGAGGGAAGTCATGACCCAGAAATAATAGACCTCACTGCTGAGAAGGAATTCAATCATGGGGAAGATAACATCAGGATGGAAGAATTGAAGGCAGCTATTGAGAAGATTAAGCTGGGAAAAGCAGCAGGTCATGATGGTATAACACCAGAGATGGTCAAATATATGGGAGTCGAAGGTGAGCGCCTTCTACTGAAGGTTCTCCAGGCAGCCTGGTGTAGCAAAACTATTCCAAAAGATTGGGAGATTGCCATCATTATACCTATATTTAAAAAAGGTGATAACAGACAATGTGAAAACCACAGAGGCATATCCCTCCTCAGCGTTCCCGGTAAAAGTTACTCTAGAATTCTTGAGCAGAGACTTAGAAGTCTGGTAGAGCCACAGCTGGACGAGGCCCAATGCGGCTTCAGAGCAAACCGAAGTACTCAAGACCTTATCTTCACACTGAGACAGATGAGTGAAAAAGCCCTGGAATATAAGAGTGAGATGCACTTATGTTTTTTGGATCTGGAAAAGGCATTTGACAAGGTACCCTGGAACAAGCTCTGGGACTGCTTGGCAGGGAAAAACATTTAGTGCTTGCTTTTTAGCTCAACAGAAGTCATTGGAAGTGACCAGATTTAGTACAGGTTTAGGCCAGCATTTACTTAAGTAAAGGTCCCTTTTCCACACCTTCAGGCAAATTGGGCACATAGGGCTAGACCTATATTTTATAGACCAATCTGCATTTGGTGAGTGATGTGGTCAGCATCATGGATGAAGAAAATCTGCAACAATTTAGTGGATGGAGTGACAGTTAGACCAAGAACAAGTTGGGAAGATAACATCAAAGAAACTCTACTGCACCACAATATGTTTATGGTCGAAGCAGCCGGAAGAGCCCAAAGCAGAACCTCGTATCTCCCTCAACACCTGAAGCAGTAAAAGAGGAAGTAAAGACGAAGAAGTGATAGTTGACAGGGAGAAACTAGGCCCGGAATTTAAATTGTTAGAAAACGGAAATTATGGTCATCACCAAGAAGAAATAAATACCAAAGTAGGAAATAAACGCAAACGGAAAAATTCTGAAGCAAGTCAATAGATACAAATATCTTGGAACAGCTATCTGACACAAGATGCCTGGCAGAAACTAGAAAGAAATGGCCGTGACAAAAGTGGCCTTTAGCCAGATGCAAAAGATTCTCGCCAGCAAGAAGATGTCATTTGCAGTGATAAAAAGTGTTGAATTGCTAAGCAGAACCTGTGTTGTTATATGCATGTGAAACATAGACAATAAGCAAACAAGTTGAAAAATATTTACTTGCTGCAGATATGTGGGTTATGAAAAGAACGCAAAGAATATTACTAAAGCAGGCCTCATCGAGACAGATGAAAGTCATAAACTTATTAGAACAATCAGACAAGGACAGTCAGTGTGTTTTGGGCATGTTTTGAGAAGGAATGGACTCAAGATCTTGGTAACACCTGGCAAGACCGATGGAAGGAGAGCAAGAGGAAGGCGGAGAGATAAATTCTAGGATGATCTGGAGAAACAAAAACACCCAAACTGATCTGTGATTCCAGTGATCGTGTGTGACATGGCAAACCATGATAGCCTACACTTACCATCACAGCACATGATGACGTTGAGGTTTGTCAGAAGGCATTCTACTTCTCATCCCCCCCCCCCACTCCCTCGTAATAAGTACCCAAGAGCTTGTAAATCTGCCTGGATATAATCTCTCCACCGTCTTCTAATCTCGTTCTCCCTCATGGTCTATGGCCATTCAACTCCCCCGTGTATGCAGCTTTTGCCTCTTGGCCATATGCCATTCTCTCTATATGCCCCAGCCATTAAGAACAATTAGTTTAAAGACTGAAATTAAAGTTAGTTAAATATCCTTCACAGCTACACTGGAGATATCCTGAGATGAAAGAGCAGAGAATCACCAAAAAGGCACTAAAATGGGGAATAAATCGGCTGAAGAAGTGAGGATACCCCAGAAAGAAAAAAACTCCCAAACAAACACCGATGAGAGAGGCCAAAGGTGCTGGATTGGATTACATCCATGATACTGAACTGATTGCACGGGACAGAACTTTATGAAGAGATAGACTGTGAGCCCTGTGTGGCACAACAGGACAATGATGACGACAGAGAATCACCAAACATGCAGTGAAATGGGAAACAGAGCAACTGAGGAAACGCGGACGCCCAAGACAGACCTTGGGTCAGTGTTTCCCCTCGTGAAGCCTAAGCCTTACAGGGAAAAGGGGGTTGGGGGGTGGAGGGGATTTGACTCGTCCAAAGTTTAAGTTAACATATGGCGATGTCACATACAGGGCATAAGAATTTCAGAAATGTTAAGGTGGAGCACAGCACAACAACGGTTGGGAAGCACTGCACTAGGGTAAACGCTGAGAGAAACTAAAAGGTGCTGGACTGGATCTCATCCATGACATTGAAGTTTCTACACAGTATAGGACAGTGATTCCCAAACTAAGCGACGGAGAGCCATGACCTTTTCACAAGGGCACCGCGAAATATTCGAAGATACATGAGTTTTATTGGTTTTTTTTTTTTATCTTTTACACACAAATAGTCATACTTTCATGTAGATTAGGGAGCCGTGGAAACATTTTTTTTTTAAAGGCGTTGCGACTAAGAAAACATTTGGGAAACACTGGTATAGGACATAATGGCGACAAGAGACTGTCAGCCAAATGTGACATCAAATGGCACAATTGGACAATGAATCAATGAAAAGCATCAGCAGGCATTAATTAAACTATGTAACTTTATAACACTGGATTTAATAAAACTTTTACATTTGTTATTTTTATCTTGGCCTTCAGCCTGTCGGCTGTCCCATTTTTCCGGCTTGTGAGTGTAAAAATGTTAAAGAATATTGCTTTACAGCAAACCAACCCTAGCATTTGTTAGTAGTTTTATTTAGCAAATTTTAAATTTAGTAGTTTGCCAGAGCAACAAAAACATAAAAGTTATATTAAAAAAGGAAAAACATAAACACCAATGTTGACACTCACCCCCCCCCCCCCCCCCCCCAAATGCCTTAGAAAAAAGGACGCTGACTGTTCTTATAATGACAAATGAATGTATTTTTTCATTTGGGTCAATGGATATGCAGCAGAGAATGCAACCAGATGAAATTAAATTCCTGGGAAGGCTAATCCAGGATACAAATGTCTCAAAACATGGATGTGTCGGCTGAAAGGTGCGTTTATCACAGCAATAGGCACACCATAGTTACGTCCTTCGTTTAGCAAAATAAGAAATTTAATTTACTTTTTTTTAAATGAAAAGCTCAAAAATGTTTCTTGTACTTTTAATGCGAAATTAAAAGAAAGGCACTCACTGTGTTTACTAACAGATGACTGATTATGTTGAAATGTGACACGTTCATCCCTGTGTCTGTCTGGAGGAGCTTTCGATAGGAACTCTGGGGGCCCTCCTTCTCCCGCTGCAACGCTGGCTATTGTCATTGACACAGCATCAAGAATCTTCTCTGATTTGTTTAAAACACTGGAGACGGACATATCCAAGCTCTCGCCAACAGAGGAAAGCCCTTTTTCATGTCTGGCTGACAGTTTATACAGACTATTATCACTTGCTGAGGAGGAGCTTTTGGGTAATCCAGTCCCATTCTTACTACCTATGGAGTGCAGGTCATTAGGTGTCACATTCAGAAATGACTCGACAACCTGCTTTTCTATATACTGGGCGTCGGACATCTCGCTGTCGTCATCTTGCTCATCCCTGTCTTGGTCGACACCACTGGAGACAGCCTCTGCATTGGAGACTGCCTCATCTCGTTCGATATCCTGCATGCTGTTACTGACCGGTGTGTTCTGCTCCTCAGTTTCAACATCCACATTGCTATCTTCACTCATAGCAGCAGGGTTAGGATTGTTAATAACAGGCAAACTTTGAGAGGCACTGTCAAAACCTGGGGGAATCACACATGGGGACTCGGAGTTTTCCACACGGTTATTGTTACCACCATTGGCAAAGTTATCTAAATGTGTATTAGTCTGATCATCGGGATCACTCATAGCATTTGAAGTACCATTGATGGATGGAGTATTATCTTCAGGTGATGGTTCTCCGCTGCCGTTCTCCGATGACATGATCTCTCGAAGCTGGTTATTGTGTCCGCTGGCTGATTTTACTTCCTCAATCTCTTTGTCTGTGAGGGTGGCAGATGCTGAATGACACCAGCTGGCTGGAATCGGGGGGCGAATGTTAGGTTTTCCATCACCATTTGTGGCGATAAGACCTGTGCTAATTTTCTTTCTCATCCTGAAAGACAAGCACAAATAGACCATATTACAGATGTGTATTTTTATCTACCTGGTGTAGGAGCCCATCAAAGGAATTATTTTAGGACAAGTACAGTATCTGGAAACACCTGATGGAAGATTTACAGCAGAGATAAGGGACAGAACAGTGAAGGCGAAAACTTCATTCTAAAAATGAAGAACATTTTATGCACTAAACCTGTGTCTGTGGAGGTAAGAAAAAGAATTATCACAGGCAATAAAGAGCACTTTAGACAGCCCCCCCCCCCCCCCCCCCCACACACACACACAAAAGCGGTCCACATGTTTTGAAATAGGGGAGGGTTTGAAGACAACTTTCACACAAACATCAGAAAAAGAGAGTCATCATTTTTGGTCATGTAATAAGAAGAAGGGAACTGGAACATGTTGTGATCACTGGAAAGATCTGTGGATAGAAAGACAAGAGGAAGACAATTCTTGATCGCTGTTTGTCATGTAGGGGGGTCAACACACAAACTGATACTCGCAGCTGAAGACTGAAAACTATGAAGAGGTATGAAAGCGCATGCCAATCAGCAAGGCAGTTGATAATGACGGTTATTGTCAAATTAATCTGGGAGCCGTGGTAGTAGAGTGGCCTGAAAGTTATCAATCTGAATTTGCATCCAACTTTCCCCACACTTTTTTTCTGCCTTGTTCCTAGGTTGACCCAACCCCAAATGGGTATTAGGAAATGACCAGAGAAGTATAGGTGGCCGGCATTATGTTGACTACAACACCCATAGAGTGTTGACTGGCCTATGAGAATGTGAGTCTAGCCTCATATGCACCGCTGCACAAAAAGAATCTTTTACTGTTACTTTAAACTCATCTAATGTGCTTTCTCAATCTGAAAGACAAACATCACAAAATAAATGGGTATTATCTCATTTTCATTACCATCTTGAAAGCCAGTTTGCAACAGATGGATTCTGATGGACAAATATAAGCAGCTGACGCTGTAAATGTGTTCCATTATGCACTTACTATGTAAACACCAATTAAGCTGCATACTTCATGGAAAGGGTTCCCTTGTCCACATCAAGTACAGGCAATCCCACACAGGTAATTGCACGACAGATATTACATTAGTAAGATAAAGCACCTGTCCCTCTCTTATACAAGGTCACAACATAATGAAACTGGGACAGCCAATTCGCTACCTTGGCCGATAATGTCTGTAAAATTATAAACTAAAATATCTTGCGCAAGAGGCTAGGACATGGCCACAGATGAACTCATGATACAAAGTTCTGTAACAGCTAAGAATTCAAACCACATTATAGCCCTGGCAAACAAGTGCATTAGTAGTAGAGTATGTCTCTTCTTCTTTTTCTATCCTTCTGTAAGAAATTTTAGACCAGTAGCCTTAATGAAAGCTTTCATGCTGACTATATCTCCCCATGTACCATACAGCTCTCCTTACAACTTGTTAGCAGCATACAGCTGAGAGTGTTGGAGTACAAGTTCAACATTTAATGGTCCCAAGTTGCAGGGACACATCTCCATGTTTCTCTCACCGAAAAACGTGACCACGTGTTGGTGAAGTCTGTTGTGTCCTGTCTGTAGTCTGAATATGACAGTGTCTCCATAGAGACCTGGAATTCACTGCAGTACACTGCAGTACAGACTGTTCTACTGAAAAGCCTAACTGAATGAGCCATAGTGCCAAGTCCACAAACTGCTAGTCTTTTGGATTAAGAACTGCTTCCAGAACCAACTTAGCATCAAGCAGAAACACCTCTCTGCTATATCTGTGGTCCTGTTGTCCAACATGTTTGTCCCCAGAAGTGCACCTGCTACTGCTCTGTAACTGGAGGAATATGAACCTGTTGGTACAGCTTGTTCAATTTTTAAACCATTTAGTCATTATATGTAAATTCCTTCTGGCCTGTTTCTGACTGTTCTCCTGGCTGAACCATCCGTATAAACTATAATCCTTATCTGGTGTGGATAAAAGTCTGCTGATCTCTCCTGTAATGGACTTCATAGCAGTGCGGATCAAAGATGATATGGAATGGGGGAGATCTCTATTACAGTAGTTCTCATTGTTGGCAAGTCATCATCAGGCCAAGGGCAGCAGTGATTATATGGTCTGAGTAGGACATTTAGTACTATATAGGAGGAGAAGTCATTAGGCTTGGTATTTGCATTCTTGATTGATTCAAGTTCTCTCCACTCTATCTCTCTGGGATTTTTGCAGTTGGCTGTGTATGGGTTGTTCTTTCAAGTGGTGGTATGTGGAGTGCTGAGAAAGGAGCTTCATGTCTCTCCTTTTTTTTCCATGGCTGGGGACCAGTAACTGTTTCCTTTATTTATTTTTCTGTAATGTTCTGCCAGTATTCTTCCTTACTCCTTATCTCTCTTTTCTCAACGATTATTTCCTCCTCCACACACTAACACGCAAAAATGTTTTGTCCAGTTTAAATCTGCATATTTTAACACATTCTCCTCTCCCTCCCCCAAATCCTGTGGGCTAAAGGGCAATAATGGGGAGGGGAAAAACAGACACCTCCCCCTCTAAGAAGCACATCCTAAAGCAGGTATGTCAAACAATCAGGACAGGGTTGCATATAGCCCATTGCCTGCAATAACATTTTATTAAAAGACTTCAATTAGTTGTCGTGTGTGGCCCTTATGACAACACAAATGTGACCCATAAGGCCCTCAAGGGGACCATTAGTATGCCTTGTCACAAAAAACTCATCAGTGATTTGCTGAAATCAGATTCCTTGGGCCTAAAAACGCAGATATTGCAGCAAAGCTGTGGACCACAGCACAACATGCCAACCACTTTTGTGAGGGTGAACACAGAATAAAAAGAAGAAACACCACCTTACTAATCTGTGCCCCCGTTTATCACGTAAGGATACCATTCCCTGACACATCACAGGCAGTATTACCTGCCTTTTACCACCGTCCTCACAATGAAATCTGCTAACGCAGCAGTACAGCATGCATATTACCATCATATACAAATCACAGCAATGTTCCATAAGGTAGAGAGAAAAAGAAATACTAAAAGAAACTGATTCAAACTGCATGTTAACTATGCATGATTTAAACTGAGCAGAAAACTGCTGAAAAAGTTATATCACAGAAGGAAATATTAACTCAAGCTACACTACCAAATAACTCCTTTATTTTTTATTTTTTTTCGTGTCCTTTCAACTTGCAACTTCAGGTAACTTATTAGCTAACTCGCTTAAAAACACAATGTGTCCGTTAAATTTATTGATATCATTCAAACCTGAGAAGAAAAGTGTCCAAAATATCCAGTGCGGATAAAACTATGTTTGCCTGAACTGACATCTTCTGAGGACAAACTTGACTGAGATGTCAATAAGCTCAAACTGATTGCTGATTTCTGTAAATATATTCAGCTGATCTCTGAAGGTGTATGAAGAAGAAGAAACTAATGGTAGATCTTAACAATTTCAGCTGCAGTTTTTCAAGACAAAACCACACAGCTAAATACAATGAAAGAGACAATGAATGAAGTCTTTTCACATATATGGATATTATAATGTTTTTAAAGTTCTTTTGTCTGTTAAACTACTTCACAATTTCTTCTACATATATCCTGAAAGCGCCATTAATAAAATGCCATCAAAAACTTCCATATAATTATGAAGATGCTTGTTGAACTTGTTACTTCTTATAAATGTGCAGCATCGTGTCAGATACTCTACTCTTGTGGATGTCACTGTGTGATGCAGAGATTCGGAATCACATGTGGTAGTGCACTAAGACCAGGGCTCATACCGGTCAGGACCTGCCTACATCTCTCCGCCATCATCCTAGAAAGTTACCTAACCTTCAAGCTTGCCAACAGTGACAGAATCGATGTTTCTGTCATTAGAATGCTGCCTGTCGAGCAAGGATACCAACAGTCTGCATACAAATAAGCCAGATCTGTATGACGTAACTGCGCGCAACACTCAAGTCCTGAAACAAGACTAGTAGAGTCGGTAAAAAACAGGAATATTCTCCAGAGTATACAGCTGGGAAACAGGAAAAAGAAGAATGTTGCAGTAACATATTTCTTTCTTTTACTCTTCATACAGATAGCCAAAGAAGAATAGTAAGCTAATCTAAAACTGGTATTATCAGTCACCACACACTGAGGAATAATATACTGAAGATAGTATCTGAGTGTTTATGGACTTGTCCAATGTGCATAATCAGCTGATTAACTAACAACGTATTATCTTCTTGCTTTTATTACTTATATCTACAAAGAAAGACATGCCCCTTAATCAGCATGTCTTTAAAGAAACTAACTCACAAACAGAACTGGTAAGCCACTCAACAACAACAAATTCCAAATTATGTGGGTACATCATAAAAAGAGACAAACTGTAGTACATCGTGACAAAAAAAAAGTTGGAGAAGAGAGACGGATACAAAGAGAGATTGATATTTTACATCAGGGTAGCAGAAACATTGATATCACAAATGATATTCAGTAGGCAAGACAGAAAAAGGTTGGGCCAGAGATGATAACGGCTACACCGAGGCACGGACTTTAAAGAGAACATTAAAATGAAAATAAAAAAGTAAATGCCATTCTTTACGAAGGCATTCTAATTATAACACTGTTGCAGGTATCTGCATCACAGGAACTGGCATCTGATACTTGGCATTATATTTTATAACGAATATTCCCTTAATCTTTCTTCTGTAGCATTCCAAGTCCTTGGAGTTTTCTGCTGCAAATATCACCCGCCTCCATTCACCTCTCTAACTGGCCTCTTCTCAGTTGGTGACTCCCAAGTTTTTTTAAGGTCTGGATTACCTCTTCACCACACCTTGGTCTGCCTTCCGGTCTACTCCAGTTTAACCCTTTTGTGTATGCAGTTTTTATTTCCCTGCCATTCTCGCTAAATGCCTCAACCATTGCAGTCTATTAGCCTTCACGATGCCAGTCCCTCTATGTTCAGACACAGTAATACTATTTTCCACGTGTTTATTTTATA